ATAACATTTTGGGATTTTTTTATAGTGATCAGATAAAAATTATTAGTAACCACCAACAAAAACAGTAGGTTAAATACCCCGTGAAGAAAGATGTGATAAATAAGATGTCCCTGCATTCAAAATGAGCAGTCCTTGGGAAATCAAATTCGGCACTTTACGCTAAGGTTTTCCTCGCTGTACCCATTTAATAAAGTTGCTTCCAAGCAGATCCGACTGCCCGTGCTACATATACGTCACAGGTCCCTTCTGTTGATGACTTGCTGAGCCGCCACGCGTGCCAAGACTGAATGCCAGGGAAGGCGCGCACCGTCAGCCACTCTTCTTTTTTTGTTCACGATATCGAACAACCTCATTTTCGTCCAGATATACAAGATGCACGCCTTTCAGTTTCTTTGATAGAACGCTCACCATTGTCCTGGCCGTCTGAATTGCGCTTACTGAACGTTCTCTTAGGTTGTTCAGCGTGGCCTGGTGCTTCACGAGTCCGCCAACTCCGTCACATGCATTTTTCCCATGTCCAGATGCAGAAAATAACCACTGGGCTTGTGGGCAATCGTCCTTTGCAAATTGGTGAAGCTGGTAGCGATTCTTGAAATGACTGGCGGCGCCGTCACTTACGTACGTCACGTACGAGTATACCGCAACGTTGTCTTCAACCCACTCCTTCACTTTTTCTAGAGCCAAGCAAGCGTGAGCGGCGTCGTGACACAGGTCCTCACTGATGATGGCAAAGCTGTTTGTAGATTTTCTTGTCGTCACTACACATGTAAATATCGAAACTTGTTTTTTTTTCCAGTGATATGCTTGCACTTCGTCAGGAAGCACGATGGTCCAGTTTTCAGCAAAGTCAAAATGAAAGACAATGCTCCCGCGTTGCATGCACTGTTTTTCATCGTAGATCGCTTTACCTTGCGTTTGCCGGATATGGTTGTGAAGTACCCAACTTCCAACCGTCACTTGGATGACTTTTAGGAAAGTCTCAGGTTCCAAAGTTTTTTTCACAAGGTCGCCGGACTCCCATGTTGCAAGCACAATCTCTTCATCCTCCGGGATATCAAGTTCCTGGAGTGTAAGAAACTGGCCTTTTGGGCAGTGATCACAGTCTCCTTGAAGGCACAGTTCTGTTGCTGGGTCGCACAGAAATGCCGAGTTCATTTCACCAGTGTTGAATGTTGAGCCTGTAACGTTCTCTAGAGCGGCAATACAAAGATAATAATTGGCGCAGCGCACACAAACGCACACTTCCTGGTGTGGAATACATTGGACCCATCTAGGGCGCAACGAATAAAATTTCGTTAGCCCAACGCCGGAATCGGGATGCTTGTCTTTGTATATACGGAAGGCCTCTCGTATTGAGCGTGTCATGAAGCGCTTTGGCACGAACGTTTTCTCTCCGTTGAGCATGACAGAGATGACGTCCTTCTGGTTGGGACTTTGGCGCGAACATTGTAGCTCGTCTTTCGTGAAGTACTCTAGGGCAGCAGACAGGTTCTCAGGGCTCACCTTGCACCTCGTGTAAGGATCCGGCTCATACCACACGCCATGCTTTTCCTTGAGTTTTCGGGATTTACTGATGAGGTACATTGAGGCCTGTGGAATCATCTTTTGAACCTCATTCTTCGTCAGTGTTGACGGCAGGAGTGTAAGCAGTTGACAACGTTCCCGGAGAGAGGTGGCGGTTTCAAAGGCCTGCCGAAAGTTGTCCACCCACTCAGTGCATGTGAAGCATGTTGGTTCGGACGACCCCGATGGTGCGTCCCTGTCGTACGCAATACGTAGCCTTGAGCGTATATTCTTGACAGCAACCTGCTCCAGTTCTGTCTGCTTTCTCTTGACATAGGCAGGCCTGTCCCGACTTCTTACGACGCGTGGTTGTCTCAGCGGCGACACATCTGTAGGTAGTATGCTGCGATTTAGATCTTCAATTGCTTCTTCAGCTGGCACAAATATGTCAGGGCACTGCTCTGAGCTTCGCATCGAGATCTCCTTAGTGATGTGCATGAAGCAATGGTAGCACAGGTAGTCCGTCGCACTCACTTTGGTGGAACCGTCAGGCGGAAGAATTTGCTTCAACGAGTTTAGGTCCAACTCGCCAACACTTCGAAAATTCCGCTGCTTTGGTATAGTCTTTTTGTGTTTGCAAAAGTAATCTGCACAAAACACTCGTTCGGAGCTCCAGGACGTCTTCATAATGTATACATAAATCATAGAAATTAAACCCCAACTGATGGCATATAATTGCCAAGTGAAAGAACTACTGGGTGCACAAGTGACAAGTCCGAGGCTGAGGAGCTCACTCACTGCAAACGTACATTTGAAAAGAGAGGTCACAACTGAGGCTGTCGGCAAAGCTTGATCCACGTCAAAGGAAGAAAGAGGGAAAGTCTCCAGACAAAAAATTGTGGTCAGCGGCCTTCGAAAAAGACTTTCCGGAATCGCACTGTCGTCCCTCCACGCGCTGATATGAAAGCACCCGAGCTTCTACCACGTGGTTCATGACAAAGCCTGAGCCATGTCGGCGACCGGTTCGCGAGGGGTTGGCGGTGGGGTTACGTTGATGGTCACTCGGATTAGCCCTTGCTGTACTGAGCTACCGCCTGCAGTGCCTTATCGCCGGCTGGTGTCAACAACGAGAACACACACACCCTGTCTACACCAAAACTACAAGCGTTCACCGCACACGCGTCGCCGCCGCTTTTAAGCTTTTGTGAAATTGCTTTCTTTTGCCGCGGAGAACCGCCTTATCTTAACTACGCGCCTGAAATCCTTCCAGGCGGGCGTACACAATATCAAGCGTTTCGAGAAATGCCCGTGGAGTAGAACTATGGGAAAATTCGGAGCCCGCGATGTCGATATCGTCGCCGTTGTGTTAGTACGCCGTCGCGTACTGCAGTCCCCCGTTGAGGGAGGGGGGGGGGGGGGGCGGTCTTACTACGATAACATGGCGACAGCGTTTACACTCTATGTATTTACGCGAGGCTCGAGTATTTGGGGATAATGCTGCCGGTTGGTGTGCCCCTTTGTGCCTGATATTATCGCCCGTGACGCCAGCGAGTGAGATGGCGACAGGCATGACTGCTCAGTAAACAGGCGTCGGCGGCCATGTTTTGCTGGTTGAAGCGAACCCCCTTGTCCTTGACAGCGAGCGGGGAAATGCGAAAAAAAAATTGTATCGGCCGTTTTGCCAGAACTAGCGACGAGTGTCGTCTGCGGTTTCCGGCAACTATTTTGCCATAATCGTGAGCTTAGCGAGGAAATGATTTTTGCTAGCCACAGAACACTACCACGCAGAAAGGGAATGCTTGAACATGTTTTTGTTCTGGATATATATCAGGGATATATATGAGAGAGAGAGAGAGATGAAGGTAGAGCGGAAGAGGGAATAGCATATAGTGTCGCAGGAGAATAAAGTAAACAAAGTTCCTAGTGGCCGATGGCTGCATGATCTTTTCTCGGATCACTAGTCCGTAATATGATACCTCTTTGTACACAGTAGTTTCTCCTTAATTTAAGTGTGTGAACGATTTATTTAGTTATCATTGGCCTCATCTGAATAAAAATATATAAAAGATGTGTGTTGGTTTCATGAAACTGGAACTCAGAGTCAGTTCTTGTATAAAACACTGCTAAGTGTAGGCTTTGAAAAAGGACCCTACTTTGGGGAGTTGTATCTTCTTTCTCAATAAAATGATGCAACATGTTTTTAATGGAAATGAATGCCGAAATAGAGTATAACAGGTTACCTAAATTTAAAAAAAAATCGAGGGTGGTGTTTTTTTTTTTATTCGCATCGGAATTTTTCTGTTTGATTTTTTTTCCATGTTTGACTAAATATATCCTAACTATTGTATCACACAGATACCTTAGTTATTTTTTAAATATTAGCTATATATTAGTAGAATAATATCTGCAAATTATATCATAGTGATTAAATTATTTCATGAGATACAGACCTCCAAAGTTTGCCATTTGTCGTTTGAGCAGGCATGTTTGTCAATTTTTAGAAAAATAAATAAATTTTAAATAAATATGATTACTTTATATTACAAGCAAGCTATACCCATAGTTTGCGCCTAAAACGTATTAGAGTTCTCCTAATGTTATCGCTTTAGTTATTCACTCTCAAACGGGCCCCCTCCATCAGTGCGCGTTAATGCAACTGTCCACCCCCTCATGCCTTACGATTTTTCCTGTCCCCAAGTATTTTTTCTAGTCAAAACTAAGTTTGGATTCGTTCATACAAGACACTAGACAATAACATATAAAAACATCAGTTGATTTGAAAATGTCGACTAGCCATCCTTTGGTCGATCTTATCTGAAATCACCCAACTGCTCTATCTTTGTTTCTGCGCGCGTTGTTATTTGATCGTCGTCGCAGTTTCGATCAGTGGATTCCGCTTTGCAAGCGTCCTGACCGTAAAGAATTGTTTCTGCTGTTAGGGTGACGGAACGGGGCACGCAAAGCTCGAGGACGTCGCGTCGACTGCTTCCGTAGACTCCGGGTCCGCTAGAGGCGCCACTGTCACGTTTCTAGTTCACCGCCGCTCCCATAGGTTTTCGGCGAGGTTTCCAGTATTAGCGAAGCTATATCGTATTTGAAAAAATCCTTAACGGGCATTAATACCCCGTCCATTTAAAGACTCAGTGCAGTTTCACGCGTATTTGATGATGAAAGCGAGTGGATCCGCCTCGCGGTTGCGATTCGAACGCCAGTGCGAAAGCAGCTGAACAGTCGAGCGATCGCCGCACCACATTCATGCTGTTTCGCTCGCGAATTCCTCTCTTGTGTATGAATGCGTCTGCAATCGAACTCGGCGTCGTCGGGTAACAAAACTAAAAGCGTAGCCCCAATATTTTTTTCCTGCGTCCATCAGAAACGAACGTAACTCGTTTTCGGAGTTCGCACTTCCACTTCGCAGCCAGATTCGAAGCGCGCGCCTGCGAAAACCATCTGCGGTCCTGATCATCGACATAAAGGCGGAGAAGTTTCACACTGGCTTTGGAGATACTAAGAAACAATTTATTAACAATAAATAAAACCGCACTAGACACCGACAGAGCGTTCAAGCGCCGTAGGAACAACCGCTGAAGCCGACTTGCTTCTTCAACAGGGCCGAAACTTCTTCGGCAAGAAGACGGTGCAAGGGTACTCCATCGCGCTTGTAGATCCACTTGTCCTCCACGAAATCGTATCTCTTGGGTCCGCTGTGGAACAGAGTTGAAAACCGGAACTAAGCAAAAGCTGCGGCTCGCCACGAGGCATCATCGCGAGTCAGAGCCGTCCACCCCAGACCTCCAGGGTAGTGTCACGTGACATGCTAGAGACGTCAGACTAGAACGGAGCTTTGACCTCCTTGTTCTTACCTCAACTTGAATAGTCATAAAAGCATTCTTACAATACCCCTTTTCACTGCAATAAAAAAAAAACGGCTTTTTGCTGAGAATTAATAAATTTTCCTTTATCTTTCTTTACCAAAACGTACATGTCTCAAATGCAAAATTAACCTTTCTTTCAGACATCCAAATTTGTAAGCGCCACTTCGCAAAGCGTATGAATAATCAAACTGAGTAAAAAAATAAAAGAAACAAAAATTAACATGGAAGTGGTGTCATCACCGTTAAGCGATCACGTTACCCGATAACCTATCACGTGACGTTGAGAGTTCTGTTGCAGCAACGTACGCAGAAAAAATAAACACATCTTTTGTTTTCCTTTTTTTTAGAAATTAACGCTGCTCTTAGAAGCCCCCCACATTCATGAAACGGGTGTCAAATTTTGTTTACAAGCATTTTTTTTCCCATACAGAAAAGCACCGATCAGCGTCAAATATTTGTCCTCATCAACCATTTTTTTTTTTTTACCACCCCGTGCAATGTGTTCGTACTGTTGAGATAGCCCCATTTCCAAAACTAACCAAAGCTGGATCATCTTTTGGCCAAAGAAACTTCATCCAATCGAGCTTGTGAGGAAAAAAAGAAGTAGGAAGGGACCTGAAGACAGAATGCCACAACATCGGAAGGAAGAGAACGGTTGGGTTTCCCAGGCACCAGCTCTGTTTCATGGTCTCTCTCACGAAGGAAGAAAGCATTGCAATCCAAGAACCAGACCTGACGGGGGACGACAACCATATCTGTCGATTTGGCGTCTGTTTGTTGATGACGAAAGTTCCAATCCTAGGCCCCAGGTGAAGGGTCAAAACACCATCCTGTGGGAGAACCGGCAAGTTAGCAGGTGTACTTTGTGAGGTCATACATCAGGACTGCTCTAATGAGAACGAGCGCTTACGCTCAGTGCAAGATCTGCCTCTGGAATGTCTTGAACGTCTTCCAAGATCTCGTCAAACCTTTCGGCCAGAGATTCCAGTGTCTCCTTCGTAATGGCCTCATACTCCACCTCAGACATTGAGCTCCTGTCGAATTAAAATAAATTGCATTAATTAGATATTATTTTAATTTTGACATATCCTATTTATTGTCATCTCTTGCCGGGTTCCTATTTCAAAATATTAATATTCATTGAGTAAAACCTCTATGCAAGGATTGCATCTAATCTCTGCAGCAAAATTTTTAGTACTTGTCTGGACACTGTGAGGGAACAGCCATTTCACAAAGACTTAAAGCTGGGAAAGGAAATTTCAAAGCATGTAGTTAACTGTAAAAGGGAACTCCACAAGGCTTATGTTCATAAGCCTTTGCTCAACTTTTTTGTGCAACACGTGGGAAGATAGCCATGGCTTTCCACTGTTCAATGACAGCATCCAACTGCTTTAAGGGGTGTCCAAATAGGATACTTTAGAATGTGTGAAGCGACGCTTCTCCACCAGAGTAATAGTTGAAGTTCAGCCACCCGTTTTCTGTTTGAACATTTACTAATCAAACATCACGGCCTTCCTCCTCTGCTTTTTTGGGACGTCGGCGCTCGTATCCTTGACGTCACATGCCATGGATGAATGGATGCTAATGGCTATACCTTTTATAACGGGTGGTAGCTTGCACCACCTAGCCTACAAACTAAAAACCAAAAGTATCCTTCCTTCCCTCACCCTTCCAAGTCAATATGCTTCCCCTATGCAATTTTGTAACTATCACCAGGCAGTGTGGGATATCACCAGGATGACCTTTAGGGCATTGGGCAAAAGAACTAAAAACATTACCCTCACCTCCTCCCCCAGCAAGGGAGTCGCCGATTTTCCTCTGGTCAAACCTAGTTGGCTTTACCCCAACAACAGACACATTGGGAGATAGGGTTGAGACTGGGCCAAAGCCATGCAGGAGGGAGTCCCAATTTCCCTCTGTCCCACCTGTCCACAGCTATGCTAGTTAGTTATAAGTCATTAAATTCTCCCTAAATAATTTCAACCAGTTTTCCAATCTCCTCTGCTATTTATCATCTGCCACCTGCCAATGGTGTGCCTGTTGCCTGTTCACCTGTACTGCCGTGCCCTCATATCCTTCCCTTTTTCGTTTGTCAGACTTGAACAGCAGTGGAAACCTTGAGTGATTGACTGACAGCCTACACTGTTAGTGGCTGTTCAGAACCACGCAAGAAGCACACTCTAGGCCTCCGTGAAGACCACAGGCGGACATTGGCAAAAAGAAGCTTTCCCCCCGGCAAAAGAACAAAACAAAACATGGATGGAAGCGAATTGTTGCATTTCATATGGCGGAAAAGTGTTGCTTCACGCATTCTTGAAGTGTACCGTTTGGACAGCCCTTCAGCGGAAAGAGAAGGTAGAGACTGCTCTGTGTGGTACAGCAGTGCTCTGGAAGCTATGCGGAGCAAAGTTCGTCTGCCTCTTGCACAGGGATTGCAATGATGTCAGAAGGTGGAGCTCATATTGGCTGCTTGAAAAAAAATAGTGACTCACTATGCATATGCCAGCTTTGCCAGTGTTGCACAAAATAGCCATGGCGGCCTGTCGATTAAGAATGGCGTGAAGGGCATACTCATTCGCTGCCTCTTCTGTAGAAAAGGTTCTTCGTACCATGCCGGACCCACACAACCGTGTTTGATGAGCCACTCCTTGAAGGGCCTAGAAAGAGAAGAGCCAAATGGACTATGTGTCACGAATACGAACCGACTGACTGCGCATGCACGGTGAGACAGAAGCGTTGTGATTTTTCTCTCTCACTGCGCATGCGAAGTTGGACTAGGGTGGCTCGAGCCTTCCATGACGGGCAAATGGATGATTGGCAGATCTAGGCACTCCCCACGCATAGTCTACCGGCAAGGGCCGTCTTCAGCCTGTTGCTCGAGAAGAGGACCCCTCCGATGTACCCGGTTTAGGGGACAATTTTAGGCCGTTATTGGGATAGAAACGTCGTAGATCAGACGCACACCATGTAGTCGAAGGTCGCCGATGCATGCTGGCGAAGTCGAGTGTTTCCAACGGTGACGTCCCAAGACCTCGTTGCTTTTCATCTTGCACGGGGATCGCAAAAGCCACGACCGTCCTCTCAAGATGCGGCTCAAGTTCATAGCGGACATTAAAATACAGCGGTCGGTCCACGCAGCTACACAAACCGTTTTCACCGTAACGTTTCACTCGCCAGTACACATCTGCGGCGTCTGCGCGCGCACGTTTTTAGTTTTTACGATGAAACGAATACATTCAACAAATTTGGTTGACGGCTGGCGTCATCTGGCGGTATGCGAAAATGGCCAGTGCGTGCGCCCCATGCAGTGCCAAGTTTGGAATAATAACTTGTATGCTACATCATTGCAATAACTTTATGGTTTGAATCAGTATGTATGATCTCTACGTTCGGATCACCTGGAAGTTTAAAGTTTTGTTTCTAAGAAGGCTAAGAAGGAATGCAGCACCCGTCCTCTGGCGGCAAGAGGGTCGCAATCACCGCGTCGGCCGGGCCTTCTCGTTCGCGAAGACGGCAGCACACAGGAGGGAAAGGGGAAGGGGGGGCGCGCGTTTGTAATGTCGGCAGGTTGGGCAGTATGTGGGAACTTTGCCGACTTTGCCACCTTGCCATCGGTCGTTCTAGTCGAAATTTACAAGCACCTCTCCTTCGAAGACCGACTGCGGGCCTCGTCGACGTGCCGCGCCTGGCGAGACTGCCTCTTCCACCCGCGCTTCTGGACGAGCCTTACGGTGCGCCTGGGCCGCAAGCGGAATAAGTGGCGACGCGCCGAGTTCTTGGCCCGCAAGTGCGGCCGCTTCGTGCGCCACTTCGAGCTCGAGTTCGACTGCAGCAGCGGCCAGATCGTGAGCCAATGCATCGCCGTGCTCACCCTGCTCGGCGACAACCGGCAGCTCGCGTCGCTATCCCTGCGCCCCACGGCCTGCGTCGTGGCCTGGCCGCTCTGCTCTTGCGGCGGCTCCAGGGCCAACGGGTGCGCGGCCAACGAAAACGAAACCGTCGCCGTGTACGACAGGTGAGGGGCGGCGGGGGCTGTAGCGCGCACACACACTTACGCGGCCTTGCGGGCGTAGGTCGTACCGACTGGGACGTGGACGATCGAGAGTAGGGCAGACACCACACGAACAGTCGGGTACCTAGAGACTAAAACGGAGACTAAGCAGGATCCACGACACGTTCACAAGGACGCGATCCTCAACGCACTCGAGTAGATTGATGATTACATAGACGTTGCGAGGTAGGATGCCGCTGCCAAGGATTACGACGCATGTCACTGAGATTGGCGTGCGGGTGACCGCAGCTAGGACGTGGACTCCGTAGTGTAGGGTATGTACCGCACATACAGACGCCGACAAGGATACAACATGACCCGGACGGATTGTGGGAATCGACAGAGGTTAAGACACACATGAATTGATGTGAACGGCAGGGTGTTTTTGTCGAAGGCTTCCTGCGCACGCTCTTTACCTGCCGCCATATCTTGGCTGCGAGGTATTGAAGGCAGGAAGCTCACTCTGGAGGCGGGACGACTGAGACTCCTCTCTGCCGTTGTCCCCTTGTTAGTGATATCATACGTGCTCATCAAAACTTGGCTAAGCAGACTAGAATGTCCCAGTCACCTCTTCGGAGCTCCAGCTGAAACCTAAGAAAGGACAACTCTTGGCTTTTTCTCCGAGGTTTGTGGAAGCGATCCGCCAGGTGATCCGGACGAGCGTGTCCTTGGAGCACCTTTCCCTGGGCTGCCTGGAGGACCTGGTGCTCCAGTCGGACTCCCTCCTGGCCCTGCTGGCACTACACCAGAGACGGCAAGTCTCCCGTTGCCGGGGGAGCGCGGTTCGCTCCAGCTCGTTGATACGGCGGTGTTGGGGGGCAGCTTCCAACCGCCAGTGTTTGCTTTACAGTTTGATCTATGTGTTGCATTGCTTAGGACCTGCCAAGCTCCCGAGGATGGTTCTAAATGAGTAACTTTCCCACGCATGGCCTCGATAAGGCCATTGATGCGGTCCTGTGAGCGAGGTGTCACTTTCCGTTGGAGCCCGTTTGCCGCTTAGTAGAATCCTTCCTGCACATGGCCAGCGGGGAAATAACACTCTTCTTGTGTAGCCGATTGTGAATACCCGACCCGAATAACCCAATGTAGCGGCAGTTAGTTGCTCTACAGTAACAGAACTTGCTCCTGCAGCAAAATAAGCTACAGGATCAAGTTGCTCTAACATAAAAAGTTACTTAATCATAGCAAGTTGCTTTATGGCACAAACTTGCAGTCAAAAGTTGGTTTGTAAAAACAAGGTGCAGTCAAAATGATTCTTTGTAGCAGCGAGTCGCTACAGCAAGTTTTTTTCGTAGCAATAACTTGCACTCGAAAGCTGCAGTCAAAAATTTCCTTATGGCAACATGTTACAGTAACAATTTGCCTTACGGCGGTAGTGGACTTCGTTTCATTGAGAGCGGCGCCACGGGGCTCTCAGTACGAGCTAAGGGTCTTCCCGCCGCATCGTGGTTTCACGTGGCAAAATAGATATCACAATCACTCGGAAACCGGCCCAAGACTAAAGCCTCCGCCTCCCTCGTCCTGTGTTGCAGGTCCCTGAGGCAGCTGCATCTGGCAAGCGCAAAGGAAGATCCTGACCACTACCCAATCCCGGAGGTCCGGCTAAGGCGCCTGCAGAGCCTGGAGCGCCTTAGCACGCTGGGCGTGGACTATGACTATGTGTGCGACCAGCTGCTGCTGCTCCTTGGGGAGCACACCCAGCTGCTCAGCCTGGTGCTCCATGTGCACGGCTTGGACGACCACCAGAGGGTCTGCGACCGCTCCTGGGCGGAGCTGAGGCGGAGCTGTCCAAGGCTGCGGGTGAGCGGCGCCGCTGTCCGCGGTTGCACTCTCGACTGGCGCGTTTTCCGCCTCTTTAGTCCCGGTCCCGCAATTTCTGTCTGGGAGCATCGCGATTGTGTAAAAGCTTGTTCACACACTCGAATTTGCTTAGGACGGAGCTCTTGTGATCTCTTACGGGCGAAAGCGGTGGCACTATTTACGAGGTGACCCTGGGACTGCGTGTCATTAGAGGGAAGGTTTTGCAGTATTTGCAAGGCCACGTGTACATGCCATCTGCGAGAAATGATCATTTGTAACGTTGCCGAAAGATTTTCGAGCCAGAGAAGAGAAAATGATCCGCGAACAAAATAAAAAATGTAAGGGAAATGCTGGATGTTTTGTGGCTGCTCGATAGATGGCGCTTATTTGCCCTTCTGTCATGAGAGATTTTACGAGGTTTAAAAGGGGTCATGAAAAGAAAATGTATCCGCCAGATTATTTATATTCCTTGAACCTCAAAGATGTTGGTTCCTGAGTATGACGACGAAAGATTGCGTCTGCATTTTATAAACCGCGTTCAAAAATAGTTTTTTTACTGTTTGTTACGGCTGTGCAACACCCTATGGCAGCGCAAACAATACAATGTTGTGGTAGACACATAAAAAAGTCGGACAGTTATTCAACTTTATTTGATCTTTGAATAATAAGTTTGTAAAAACTTTCCATTATTTATTGGTGTTCTTGCGTTAACTGGACGCCGCAACTACATCACGTGATTGGGATACAGTTTTGATTTCAAACACATCCGAGTCTTCTGTCAGTTGGTAATCGTCGTTACCGTGCTGCTCGCCCCTCCACGGCTCACATTCGTTCTGGAATGCGGCCGTGAAACCTCATTGTAAATTGAAATTAAAATCAAACAAAGAAAAAGAAGCAAAAAAAAAAATTTAAAACTTCTCAAAATCAGTAGCAAGGAGGGACGAGCGCACGTCGCCTCTGGACTATCAGCGCTTCCGTCTTGGGCCGGTTATTTTCGCGTGTGTAATCGTAGCACGTTTTACTAGTTTTCCCACTACTGGCTTTTATTTTTTATTTTTTGAGCAAATCGGCAGTTTTCTAGTCAAAGCGTGAGTACATTCGCGGCTCATCATTTAACACTCGTATCGGGGCGGGGCTCGATTGACTGAAGTTGCAAACAATGTTCTTAAACTCTTCTCTGTAGTACGACATGCTGTAGCACAAACAAGATACGGTGCCGGCGTAAAGCTCGAAACCTAAAACCTGACCACAGCGTAATAGGCGATGCCAGAGGTCTACAAGCTCTGGCGTCGCCTATGTACGGGTAACGAAGTTGTTGAGTTGTTTGGATTGCAGTCGGTCTGATTAAGCGATTACGCAGCTTTTAGGTCCAGGATAGCCGACGAGGCCATTTTGATATGACACAAGCTCGAACTTTAATTTAAGAATCAAACAGGCCATTTGCTCTCCTGTGCTTCGACGCCAGCGCAGTCGATTTGGCGCATCGTCAATTGGCACCACCCCACGCTTCACCCAGCCCTACGGACGCTCGCAGGTGACACTGGTGCTGCTGCACACGTGCGAGTCACTCAGCACGGTGCGGTCGGTGCTAAACCCCGCCATGCCGCTGCGGGACTTCCGGTCCTACTTCAGCGAGGGCTTCCGCGGGGAGGTGCTAGACGTGCTGTCGGCGCGCTACGCCGAGACCCTGCAGTCGGTGGCCGTGGTGAACGCCCTCTCGGAGGGTCAGTCCACCCCAAGGAGGACCTTCGCGGTGCGTGCTGAGAGCCCCGTGGTGATGCTGGCCTGGCGCTGCCACCAGCTAAGCAGTCTGCAACTGGTCGGTGAGTGCGCGCCCGGTTCCCCTGTACGGTTGGTAGCCATTCGTCGCCACTTGTCCCCGACAAACGTCCATAGGGTGTCTCGCAGCAAAGGTAAAGACGTTACGGTGGAAGAATGTGTTTCGTAATGAGGCAGATTCCTGTTGGATTGGCATGAATAGACCCTTTTCAAAAGATTGCTCGCCCAACGCTGACGCAGCTATCATTTTCGACACGAGCAGAGTTGCAGTCAAACGCCAGTGCAACCCTGGCGTCCAATCCATGTTCGGAGTACACGTCCAAACGTAGGCGGACTGTGATATGCAGTAGCTAGCTACATGAAGGTGCGCACTTGTGAAAAGGGTGAGGCCATCGACTGTTCTCAGAGCACATGAACTCCCAGGTTTTGTTTTGGAACTGCGGTGCCGCATGCGATGTCTACGCTACCGAATCAATGTGTGCAAAACTGGCCCTTGTAGCCGGCCGGCTTGGGTCAGCGTTTGGCTTTGACGCGCCAGGCTTGCAACCCTACTTGTTTCAGAAAGCCTCGGTGAGGACGCTCATATGGCTCGATTCTTCGGTTTATGCGGATGCCTACGATGCTCAAGGAACGTCGAGTGGCCCTGGGTGTAACACTGGGTCTCTCAAAAGCTTCCAACAGGAGACATTTTCAGACTGACGGAAATATGCCTGATGTTGGTTTGCTTTGCTTTCACCGCATCCCAATGTAGGCCATCGGTCTATGGAAGGGTCCGACTACGAGCAGCTCTGCATGTCACCGAAGTTGGCAGTCAGATTAATGTTGTTTTAAAGACGGGCACAAACGTTGCCAAAATCAGAACAATGTCATCAGGAACAAGTAGCACCTTTCTGTGTGTTGTGTGCGCTTTGTTTGGTATCTACATGCCACCATTATTCGCAACGTGCTAACGTTAGAGTAAAAAATTTAACTTTTTCTTTCTTTTTTGTGTGCGGAACATTTTTATAATCGGCCTTGGCAAAGGTCCCGCGAGACGTTGCACGGCGAGGCATTGCGTCAGCCTTTCTCACAAAACTTTTGCAGGATCGAATCGGCGCGTAAGTATGCATAAATTTTAATTTGCTTGCGCGTAATTACGTTTATTAAGGCACCGTCGCAATCGGTGAACAACGCGCGAACGAGTTCCATGGTCCGTTGCCTTTACCCGAAACGTGTCTGGGGGGCGTGTTTTTTTTTATCCCTCCTCGTTACGGGAGCCACGAGTAGAACTGGGAAAGCACGGCGAGGCATCCTACCAGAGCGGTCTCTGCGCAGGGCACGAGATTGCGGACACGGACGTGATCGCCATCGCACGCCTGCGAGGACCGCAGCTCAAGGAGCTGGTGGTGCCAACCGACTGCGTCTCGGAGAGTAGCGGGGGCCCCTACTACAGCGAGCTGCGACCGGCCGACGTGCGGCTGCTCGAAGCCGAGGTGTCCTCGAGCCTGCTGCGCACCTGGACACTCTCCGCACACCACTCGCCCGCCCAGAGCGAGACAGGCCAGACGCGTTCCTACCTGAGGACCTTGCAACAGCTACAGAGCTACGGCAGCGCGTAGCGTCCCGCTAAGGCATCCGGAACGCGCCCCCGACCCGTGCGTTTGCCGCGTCCGCAAAAAAACACACTGGCTTCTGCGAGGTCGTCTGCTGGCACTCAGGGACCGGTGTGAACGCGCAAGCGGACGCCAAACGCGCCGATCGGGGACGCGTTACGGGCGCGACGCGGGGACGACCGACGCCGGCGCGAGATCTAGGTTTCAGACATGCCTTAACATACTCACCGCGTTGTCGGAGCTGTGGACGACGGGGGTGCGATCGGCACCGGTTAGTGAAGCGTAACTTGCCATTATCATCGCCATTCTATCTTCGCGTCGTCGTCGAACGATGACGTACAATGTTTGCCGCCGCACGGTTGGCGGACTCGGCGGGTTTCCAAGACGGTCGTCTGTTGTTATTCCGAGGCGCTTCATCATTCGTGCGCCCATTGTTTTTAAAAGAGATCCTTTTTTTATTGCGGCGCGCTGCGACACCTGGCGCGCGATGCCGAGAGCAGTAAACGTTTTTATCGGGTCACGCGAGTGACGCACATGTGATATTCCGACGCCCGGCCGGGTTGGCTTTTTACAAGCCGGTGGCCTGTAGGTTTTATCGAACTAGTGCCAAGTGAGAACAACATTGCTGACACAAAGAAGCCTGCGGCCTAACACACCGACACACAATGACACAACACATCTCCACTTCCATCGCTGTGATGTAGGGGCCAGTGCAATCGAGAACCCGTCGTTACAATTGTGTCGCGGCTGGTAAGCGACGCGACGGTTAACTGCCCTAGTGACAATGGCGTCCAGCCTGAAACGTCAACCACAATGTTCCATCCAAGACCAAAAAGCTGACTTACCACGAGTCTTTTCGAAGCTAGAGATCTTGTCGACTCGTGTCTTTAGAAAAAAAGAGGCACTAGCAACATCTTAGAACAACTCAATACCCGAAACCACTCCCTAAAATCAGGGTGCCCAGTGTTTCTGGCATTAATGATGCCGCCCCATTGAACCCTTCACGCCACCCATCTCCTGGGATTGACGCGTCTTGAGAATGCGCGGGCAGTGCGACGTTTCTTTTTTGCACTTTGTTATCTGCAGGTTGAAGCGTCGAGGTTGAGTTTTCAGTGTAATGGCGCGTTTTATTTTAGTGTTGTAGGACCCCCTTTTGTTTTATATTCTGGGCGACTATACCCCAGTCGCCTTGCAATGTGCCGCAGTCCCCAGTGTTGGCTCGATGCATTTCGTTTCCAGGGGCAAACTATTTCAGGTGCTCTTCAGAGTATATTTAACGGATGTTACGTTTGTAGCACAGATAATAAAGACTTTTAAGAATGATTTTGTTCTGGTCTATTGTATCGTGTTGCCTGCCGATGTCTTACCTCGTGTTCACGCATGCATCTGCTTGCAGTGGGCATAATTATTAGTTACAACTGCCCTATACATAGCTCACATTGACGTCACCTCAGAGGCCATTCTGGTGGCTTTGTTGCCAAATATGAATTTGTTTTAGAGCGCAGCTCTTAGGGGCCCGTTCCCGGCTTGAGCGGCGTCGCCGTCGGCGTCGCCGTCGGCGTCGGCGTCGCCGTCGGCGTCGGCGTCGGCGTAACCAAGGTCATCCCAAGGTCACGTGACCCCTCCCAAGGTCATCTCAAGGTCACGTGACCCCACGTGACCCCCTGAAGGTCACGTGACCCCTCGAGGTCACGTGACCTCGAGGGGTCACGTGACCTTCAGGGGGTCACGTGGGGTCACGTGACCTTGAGAATGACCTTGGAAGGGGTCACGTGACCCCTTCCAAGGTCATTTCAAGGTCACGTGACCCCCTCCAAGGTCATCTCAAGGTGACGTGACCCCAAGATGACCCCACGTGACCCTTTGAAGGTCACGTGACCCCCAAGTCACGTGACCCCTCTGAGGTCACGTGACCCCCGCGGTCACGTGGTCGCCTCCCCAAGGTCACGTGACCCCCAAGGTCACGTGACCCCTTCCAAGGTCATCTCAAGGTCACGTGACCCCACGTGACCCCCAGGTCACGTGACCCCTCTGAGGTCACGTGACCCCCCGAGGTCACGTGACCCCTCCAGGTCACGTGACCCCAAGGTCACGTGGGGGTCACCTTTGGGGTCACGTGGCCTTGAGGTCACCCCCAGGTCACGCCTCCCCGAGGTCACGTGACCCCCTCCCCGAAGTCACGTGACACCCCCCCCCCCCCGGAGCATATTAAAGAATGAGGGGAGGAGGAGGAGAAGGGGGAGGGTCTACCCTCCCCTAAGTACCCTTCACTCCTCCTCCTCAAGAGCTGCGCTCCAATTCGGCGTTACAGGGATTTGTAAACGGCTTTCACTTTTTTCTCAGCGAGAACAAGTAGGTGTGGTCTCCAGCATGGTGTGATGACGTCACGTGCAAGCCGTGTATGGGCCGTCAATATGCACCAGGTTTCAAGTCTGCGCGATTTTGCAAGACGTCTGAGGACGCTTAAGCTTCGCCTTTAAGAGTAGAACGTTATCGTAAGTGAATCCTCGGCTCACTATTGACACATCGCCTCTGTTTGCCTAGCCTTCGTCTCCGCCTTCTCTGCTTCAGTCTTACGTGGCCGGCCTTGTCGCCGAGCAGGAGCAGACCTAGATGCGGCATCCGCACTTGTAGAAGACGATTCAGAAGAGCGCCCCGTACTGGTAGACGGCACCGCATCCATCGCACAGATGATCTCTTCCAGCGACCCCGCGGCGGGGTGTGCATTCTCCACAGACAATAGCGGTGTTACCGGGCGGACTCGGCGACTGGTGGAAACTTTCCGCTCCTTCGCAACGGCTTGAAACTACACTCCTCCAGACAAACAAGCCTAGGTTATGTGACTGTACATCATGACCCTATTGATCAATCGGGATTTTTGCATCGCGCCAGCTTTTCTGGCACGCCTGAACACGAGCTCCTGAACGCTATTGGATTATTCGCATCACACTAGCTTTTTCAGCACATCACGAGCGCTTTTTAACGCTATCGCGTTAATTTATAATAAGGACCGTATACACCAAACTCGTGGAAATAGCACTAATATATTTGTGCAAAATTCGTTGGCAGAGTTTGCTAACATATACATACTTTCGAGACCGGTTATAACGGTCAACGGGAATCAGAAATCACTTTGCTATATCCACTATTTTTTTTTAATCGACTTTGGTTATAACGAAGTGCAAAAGGAATGGGAAATGGTGGTCGCTTCTCCTATAGCCGCTATTTAGTTATAACCGACTTTGTTATAACTGGTCTTGATGGCATACTTTCCAGTGCAGTGCTCATGCCAAAAGAAGCTCTGTCCATGATTTTTGGTTGAATTTTGTTTTGATGAAAGATATGAAAGGTATTTGCAGAGAGTTCCCAAAAAAAAAAGTTTCTTCTTTCGGCCCAGGTAAATGAACTATGCATTGCGGAAAGCTCAAACTTTGCGAGAATGTGACACTAGTGGTTGGATACAACGCAAAAGTTTGAGGAGAGGCCGTTGCCTAATTCAAAATATAATCGAGAGAAAAAAAAGATTGTCAACAAGAAAGAGCATATTTTATTGTAATTTCTTGTTTTGGTGATATTGGGCTTAGCTAGACATCTGCTCAAAGAAATTTCAATTTTTCTCCTATCAGTTTTGATCCAGGCAACATCATGTTCTCATACTTTTGTGTTATATCTGAACTGCTAGCTTCTGATTTTCACAGAGTTCGAGCTTTCTGCGGTGCATAGTTCATTCATTCCTGCCGAAAAGCATGGCTCTCTTGTTTTGGAAACTGTATATTATCCGCATGGGCCAGCAACCAGCTTCCTCGGTAGACGTTGGTCTTCTGGGAATGGCATTATGGTTAGCATATTTGGCATTTTGATACTTCAGACCCATGTTACGGATAAAAAAACGGCGCAGGTTCGCCAAAAAAGCACGCTTTTCGTGTAAGGCTTGTCAAATTATGAGGTGCTGGAGAAAACCAGCCTTCTGCGTTAAATTTCTAACTTTTTGTTCGCATTCTGCCCATTGAAAAGCATCCGGGAAGCGTCTCGTATCGCTGTGCCGCAGTGTTCTTCTGCAGCATAAAAGCCGTCTGCTTTCATCACTGTCGCCATGTGTGTATCACTGGGAAGCGTGTTAATCCCCCCCGCCCCCCCCCCCCCCCCCTTGGCCTGCATTCATGCCGTTTTGCGGCGACTGCTCATTACAAAACTATTAAAACTTTGGCTAGCAGATGGTGTTGGTAAAATCTGCGTTCGTTGCCATGGTGACGGCGATGAAAGCAGATGGCCTTTATGCTGTGCAAGAACACTGCGGCACAGCGATACGCAGGGACGGCGCCAAGGTAAGGCGAGGGGTGGCGGGCGCCTCCCCTAAAATTTTTTCTGCCACCCCAATTTGAAGCAGCTTTGTACACAAATAATTGCCTACGACGTCGGCTTGAAAACCCAATGTAACGAGAGTCCAGACTTTAGAGCCGTTCATGCCTTCTTTTTTTTTTTTTATTACCTTCCAGCCACTGGAAGTCATACCGCGGGCGAGTAAGCTGTCAAGCGCTTTAGAAAAAGCAGCTCCCGGCCCTTTGTGACGCCTGCTGACTTTTCTCTCCGCATTCCGCTCTGTGACGCTTATCTTCAGCGGAGACCGGAGACGTGAACGAAGAGGAGCTTAGTTAAAGTCGAGGTCATGGAGAATTCCGAAATGTCTCAGAAAGAGAAGCAAAACCTAGTTGTGAGTCATGAGCACAGGGGGCAGAGGTCACTGCTGTGGTAACCCCCCCCCCCCACTCTTCCTTCTCGTGACTCCTCATTTCCCTTTTCAATGAGCACACCGCATAAGCTATCTTCGATAAGCCCGTGGGCGATGGCACCTCAGAGCAACCTCCCCCCCCCCCCCCAATTTGGTTGGCCTCCCCGTTGCCCCCCCCATTATGAAGATCCTGGCGCCGTCCCTGGCGATACGAGGTGCGTGCTGAGGCCCTTCCCAGATGCTTTTCAATGGGTGAAATGCAAATTTCAAAAGCAGTTCGAAATTAGGACTTAAAAGAGACACTGACAGGGTATTTATGCCCGCCAAGCTCTAAGGTGCACGTTTCCGGCTTGAACGGCATTGCCGTTGGTGTCGGCGTAATGATGCAATCACGCATAGGGGTGTCGCGAATTTTTGTCGAACCGGATTTTTAGGTCAAACTTTCGGGGTTTGACTGAGTCGAACTGGTTCGACGAACCTTCGAAACTTTTCACCAGATTCGACCGGTTCGACTTTGTGGACAGTGTGGCCAGGCCTTGATACAAGCATATCTAGGTTTGGAGAACTTTTTTTTGTGCAAAGGGTTATCTTATTTTATGAACAGTTGCAATTAGAAGAAACCAATTCTAATCACTGAAGAAGTTAATAACTTAATTTTGTTGTACTGTATTAACTGAAATAACCAATCAGCGGTGCCCTTACTTCTTCCCTTAGCCATCACCATCCAATCGGAAGCCAACTAGCCAGCCTGTCGCGCATGCGCACACGAGTCGAACCTCAATACAAGGTTCGTCGAAATTCCACTAAAAGTTCGAAAAAGTCGAACCTGGTCGAACTCGAACCTCGGCCGGTTCGCGACACTATGGTGCCTGGAACGCGTCTCCGACTGGTGTGTTTACCGCGGCCAAAAAAGTGGTCCCTCGATTTCCGCCTGATGACGTCATAAAAGTGTCATGCTGTCGCCGGTCGCGACCCTGGCGGCGTCCCAACAGTTGTGGTAAAAATGGCAGACGCCTGTTCTGCTGCAGGTCGCTTTCCATTCTGACAGTTTACGGAAGCTAGGGCAGCCGGAAGTTGGGACGCCTAAAGGGACGCCGTGACGACAGCGACACTCGCGTTCGCTCGTGCTTTTCGCCAGCATTTCTATGGCCAACCGCCAGGATCGCGACAGGCAACAGCATGACACTCGCGTCATTTGTTGCCACATTGGGACCACTTTTTATGTATGGGCAGGATAAGGCGCTAAACACACCAGTCGAAGACGCGATCGAGGCACCATAGCGACACCCCTAATCACGCATTGCATTATGGGACATTTCCCATAATGACACTAGAGAGAGGAGGAGAGAGTTTTTTCCGCTAAATTTAGCAGAAAAAATTCCTCGCTCGATTTAGCAGAAAAGTTTCTCGCTATATTTAGCGGGAAAATCAACGCCGCGGGTCATCGAAGGCACGCAGACAACGTTAAAAATAGAAAAGGAATATTATATTCATTTTTGCGGCTTCTAAAAAACTTCAAATACGTTGATTTGAAAGAAAAAGTTGCACAGATACCTGATCTCTGCCTACTCTCTCCTCTAAATTTCTTTGTCCCAGTCCAGTTTTAGTTTCGGTATCGAGCAGTCTTTTTTTTTTTCTTTACTTTATTAAAATATACGTCACGCTGTAGCAGAATAGTGATTGGGTAGTCTTCTGACTACCCAATGTGGTTTAAGCAACCCAGCGGCACATTGATACTCTAGACCAGTGGTTCTCAAATCTCAATTGGGGGTTTGCGAAGGCATTTAGTGGAACTTGGCAGAATGTGAATATTGACTGGCAACACTGCGTCCATTGCAAAAATAAATAAATAAATAAAGTAAACAGCACAACTGAAACTTTAGCGCGCTTTATCAGTTTTCTGAAGATTTCTACTACTACGTTTCACCCGCCAGCCCTGCCAGCGCTGCCAGCCTTTTGAAAAGTTCCCATCACTGTTCCAACAGTGCTTAAAGGCACTTCACTTGCTTCCCGGGCATGCGCGAGGTCGCGTGAGCAAGAAAGGAGAGCCGGGAGAGCCATGAAGGGCGCCGTGTCATCGGCCGTGAGCCTGCTGGCCGGAACTCTGATCGGCTTCATCGCGACGAGTCAGGTGCTCCTGTGGCTGAACAGCGAGACGGGCTGCAGCGATGCTCCGCAAGAAACCGCGATCCCGGGCAGGCCCAAGTCGCGCCTCCTTTTCGTAGGCGTCATGACGGCCGAGAAATACCTGTCTACGCGGGCGGTCGCCATCCAGCGGACGTGGGGCAAGGCACTTGCCGGTCGGCTGGCCTTCTTCTCCAGCGGCACGTCTCGCTGGGAGAACCAGGACGAGGAACTGCCCCTAGTGGCGCTCCGCGGCGTGGACGACGCGTACCCGCCGCAGAAGAAGTCGTTCCTGATGCTCAAGTACATGCACGACCACTACCTCGACCAGTACGAGTGGTTTATGCGTTGCGACGACGACGTCTACGTGCACGTCGAGAGGCTAGAGCGGTTTCTGCGCTCCGTGAACTCGAGTGAGAGCATCTTTTGTTTTCCTACCTCGCAGCTCGCTTCGCCTTGTGTTACGTTACGACCGGCAAGCGTTGCGCATGCGCGGTTTCCGCGGCGGCCATGTTTGTGGGCAATGCTTGTGTTGAATATGGCGCACACCCGTGTCGTCAACAGATTATGCCTTCTGCCATCCATGATGGGCTGTTGTGGGACGGCCATCTCCAGTTGATCCCTAGGTGAAGTAGTAACGGTCACGTCAACAATACCCAGTGGTCAATCACAAAGTATACATAGCTTGCATTGACGTCACATCAGCTGCCATTATGCTGTACCATGCTCCTGTGCCCGCACCTTCTACAGCATACATTTGGCACCATCAAATTTGTTTTTCTCGGCAAGGATTGGCCAGAAGAACAAATTTGATGGTACGAAATGTATGCTGCAGAATCTACGGGCAAAGGAGCATGGTACAAAGCAATGTCAGTTGGTACGGTGCCATATGACGTCACATGCAAGGAATGTATACAACTACTTCTCTTGCAGTAGGTCGCAGCATGCGAATTGCAACATTAGTCGGCGGTAATAAGCGTGGCCATGTAGCATGTCTGTAAACAGCCTATGTTTTTTTTCGTCATTACACACCCACTCACTTGGGAAGGGAGGGACCGGTCGCATAGTGTGTTGACACACCATACCTAAGAGCACGTGGGGCGAAAGCTGGGACTCGAACCCAGAAATTTTGGGTTCGACTTCCGCCCTTTGCCGTTACGATCTGGACGAGCATTGCACCGGTGTGCGGTCGTGTGTCGCTACTGTGTCATGCACGTTAAAGACCCCAGACTGGCAGTGGTACTGCACTTACTAAATTTCTCATCCATGCCGAGAAGCCAGACACCCATTGGGGCTTAGTAACTTCCTGCTGTCTGGGCATATACAACTGCCACACTCGAGATCCTGCTGTAGGTGCCCCCACGGCACCTACCGTGTGAATCTTCTGAGAGAGTTAGGGTAGCTCAGTTGCACGGCTGCCATTGACCACATGTTTTCCGCCGTCTGCCCCAACCAATTCCATACTTACCATTCTTGGCATTTCTTTTGGGTTCTGCGGATGGCGCTGCGCATTTTGCAACGGGCCTATTATTACTTCCGAGTCAAAGGGGTTAGAAGGAAGCCGACAATATGCTTTTTTGCTGCTTTCACAACCGCCGAAACTGGATGTGCAACATGTTATCGCCATCATCATTTATATTGAAGTTTCTTACAATATTTGGATTTACAGTTGCACATTAATAACACGATTTCAAGCAGCCACATTTCAAGAGCTAGTCTGGTTACCGTTGGCCTAAAACGCTTTTGTTTGGACCCCACTCTGGCATTTGTGGGCAAACTTGACTATCAGGCGGTACAAAGGAAAATTGGGACTCCCTCCCACGTGGCTCCAGCCCAAAGTCTCAACTCTGTCTCCCAGTGGGCCCGATGTCGGGGTAACGCCGGCTAGGTTTGGCCATAGGTAAAGTGCTGTTTCCCTCGTTGGGGAGAGGAAATGGAGGGGTGTATGTTTCTCTTTGTTTGCCCAATCCCTCGAAAGTCATCGCGGGCGATATCCCACACCGCCCGGTGATAGTTACAAAAACGCTGAGGGAAGAAAATCGGCTTAGAAGAACCAGGAGAGGAATAGTGTGTCTCGGTTTTTAGGCAAGCTACTGTCCGTCGTAAAAGTTACGGCCGTTAATATCCATTCATCCACGGGATGATCCACACAGCAAGCACCTCCGGGCAGCAGGATGGTGGCACACAGGTTAGGCGTACCGTGTCTGGCACTCGCGCGAGATGCTATGTCCATCCGCCTCACGTTGGGTGCTCTTGCAGGCAAACCGCAGTACATTGGGCAGGCGGGCCTGGGCAACAAGGAGGAGTTTGGGCAGCTCAGCCTGGAGCCAGACGAGAACTTCTGCATGGGTGGGCCGGGGGTGCTGTTTAGCAGGGAGACGCTGCGCCGCCTGGTGCCCCATGTGGGCAGCTGCCTCAAGCGGCTGTACTCCACGCACGAGGACGTCGAGGTCGGTCGCTGCGTCCGGCGCCACGTGGGCATCCCCTGCACGTGGTCCTACGAGGTGAGGGCAACTTTGTGTGCGGTGCTCGCTGCTGGAGCGGCTCTGGCCTGGCCGAACACGGGCCGGACCCCGGGGGCCACCCATCGTGCCGACTCAGCTCACCTCCCGAGTCGCGTGCAAACAAGGGAGGATTTGGATTCGGCGGCGTTCGCCGGAATGGGAGCGCGGGCAATGCTGCGGCCAGCGACGGAAGAGGGAAAGCCCCGTGTGGCTCTTGCTCCTCCGTTCTGCCAAGCCGAAAGATGGCGGCACTCGCTTGCGTGTGTCGCCGACGACTCCCTCCGGAGGGAGGGAAATAGGGAGTGGATTGTAATCGATGTGCGCTCTCGTTCCTTTGCAAACGCTACTTGTGCCGAGGTAATTTTATTTTCAGTTCTATATTTTTATTTTTATTTTTAATCTTTAGTCAGGGTTTCGTGTTTTCGGATAGGTCTGAAAAACTAAAAATACACCCGTCAGTCCAATTTTCGTCAATTCAAATTTATCCAATTAACTCCAAATTTCAAAACCAAAATGTAAAAGAAAAAAAAGATGTTTATTTACAAATAGGTTTTGTACGGGGTCATTCACTGATATCGAGTAGAGGCCATTACAGTTTCCTTTCAAATCCCGGACCATTGACAAAGGGGAGTATGGGTTTTATTTACCGAGAAGCTCGTTCAGGACAACGAGTCATTGTACTTCTGCACCACGACAAAAGCCCCTGTTCCAGTTTAAAGTTTGGAACCTATGATTTGGGCTTCCTAGAGTTGGGAAGGGTTCTAACTATAAGACTGAAAGCTATAAACTCTTACATTTCATTCGAGAGGGATGGGGCAGCTGGAATTACTTCAGCACTCCACCCCGCACAGCAGAGGGAGTGGTGGAATGTGATGGGAATGAAACAAGTTAGTGACTACGTCCAAAAGTTTATTGATGTTAAAGTATTGGCATTTATTGAAGAAAACATTTTTTAAAGTTTTGCAAGTTTCGTTTAGTTTTTTTTAATATTTAGGACGGTTAGTCGTATTAACGGAAAGGGCGCCAACACCTAAGCGAACTGGAGAAATAATATTTGATACAAGAGAGTTCTAATGAACTTAGTGCAGCTTTATGTCCGGGTATTTTTTTTTTTTTTTTTTAACTTTGAATTGGAAACACAGCAAATGTAAACTCAAAGCTTCCGAAAATTGGAAGTGTAGCAAAAATGAACTCCGAAAAACTAAAAAATTGGGGCAAATAACTAACTCCGAAAAACATCCTAAAAATTTCGCGAAAAATAGACTGGGAAAACATGGAATCCTTTTTTTTCTTAGTGTATTTCGAGCAACATTTTACTTTCAAATGGCTTCGAAAGAGAAAAACTTGGAAACTTCTAAGATTAAATTTGCCTGGCAATGTCAGAAAATTGGGGCAAAGCATAGAAAGTCCTCAAGGTTTGCAAAGCAATATTTTGCATGCTCTTTTCGACCTGCGTGCTCGGAAGACCTAGTTTGAACTCTTTTGTGCACCGTCTGTCATTTTTTTGCTAATAAATTAGTAACCATACAAATAAAAAATGAAAGCCGTTTACAAATCCCTGAAACGCCGAATTGGAGCGCAGCTCTTGAGGAGGAGTAGGGAAGGGTACTGAGGGGGGTCACGTCACCTGCGGGTAGTCACGTGACCCCGGCGGGGTCACGTGATCTCGGGGGAGGGGGGGGGTCACGTAACCTCGGGGGGGGGGGCGACGCCGACGCCGCTCAGGCTGGAAACGGGCCCCTAAGAGTTGCGCTCTAAAATGGGAGGGTACTAACCTCCCATACAAATGGAACGTAAGTGCCCCATTCTTGCCAAGAAGAACAAATTTGCCATTTCCAAACGGTACAGCTAGACCACCACAACGGCAACTGACCTACATCGATGCAAGTCACGCATAGTAGCGTAGCTAGAGTCACCAAACATTCTCGGAGTACAGGCGCAGCGTAACTTTCGCCCCAAGAATAATTCGGGGAAAGCGTACCTAAAGAAAGACCCTTGTGCATAGAGAACAAATTAGGTAAGCAACAAAACCCCACAACTGCACGAGTCACATTTTCCGTAGATTGTTTATCTGTGAATGCTAGTTCGGTGAATGCGGGCATTCGGTCGAATGTAGAAGGTTGCGCCATTTCCGGTTCACCCCTGCCTTCCTCTCGTCCAATCTTTTTTGGCAAACGACTCCAAACGAACGACGAGCCATCTAAACGCGGGGTCACGGTGCCCTCGACTGGTCTGTGCAGATGCAGACCATCTTCTACCACAACTTCTTCGGGGAGGTGGCGCTGAAGGGGCGAGTGCGGCGGCGGGAGGTGCATCGGTCCCTGACGCTGCACCCAGTCAAGGACCCCCGGGAGATGTACAAGATCCACGCCTACTTCGGGGGCTTCCGGGCCCAGGAGCTGCGCCAGCGCTCCCTGCAGCTGCTCAGGGAAATGCGCTGGGCCGCCCAGGCCTACGGGGGATGCGCCACGCCCGCGCAGGTAACCAGTTTTGCCAATTGAATGGTTCTCCCGCTAAAATTAACAGATTTCTATCACGGGTTTTTTATGCTTGAGTTGGCAACACTGCAGGTGGGCGATGCAGCCAACGCCCCCTGGGCGACAAAGCCGTGACATCTTCTAGGTCACCCACCCCGTGCGGGGCGCGGATAGGACGTGAGCGCTGCGTCACCATTGGACAGTTTAGTCGGCGAAGACGCAAGTTTGAGCTGAACGCCGGTGCAGCACGCGCACCTGATCTGTGCCCCGGCCTCTGCGGAGGGCGGTGTAGAGGCGCCGCAATCTCTTCGTCTAAGAGGGCTCAGTCGTCGCTATGGAGGAGAAAGGGTCTTCTAACCTTCCTGAAGCGGTGGCTCTAGCCTCAGGCGGGTCGTCCCACCTCTATGACAGGAAATGTTACAAACGTGGCGAGGTGTCGGATGCGGCGAGTTGTCGGACACCCTTCGAATATGGCAGCCCCATTCCTAGTTTTCGTTGCCAAAAATCTAAGCGTATCAAATTCCTCCAAAAATCCCGAGTCCAAGCAGCAGTAGTCACCTCCAATGGAAAGCAGAGTGGGAGAATGTCTGCCGGGGTTCTCCGATGGTAGAAGCATCATTTGGTGCTTGCATAGACTTGGTCCCAAGGCTCGTCTGCTTCCACCACCAAACGATGTGCCCCTTTATTCCTGTACACTCTACGGCTTTTTCTGTTTGAAACCGGCACCGAGACGCCCGAAATTGCGGCGAGATGACCTTGCACCGTAGTATTTCCGCCTGTCCGTGTTTTCCATAGTGCGGGTCCTGTTGCTGAGCGTCTCCTCCAACTCCAGGTCCAGTCACCCTGGTGCTCCGGGATTGCCAACGGTTCCTCTTCCCTCTCTGAGATGCCCTCGCTGACCAAGTACTTTCCGGGAGAGATCCAGGATTTGCTCACCTGGGACTTCTTCTCGAAGAGCCTCTACTCGGACCAGGTGGGGGCTTTCGTAGTGTGACAACGAGGCTTCGGCTGTCGGGCGAGAGTCTGAATGACGCTTGGTACGGTGACATTTGCTGCTTTTTCGAGTCAGGACTGACAAGGACATAGCATTAACCTGCCAATTTCGTTATGATTATTCGCTGAGGGGGTGAGGAGGAGGTACAAGGGGTATACTTTCCCCTCAGTACCCTTCCCTCCTCCTCTTCAAGAGCTGGGCTCTAATTCGGTGTTACAGCGAGTTGTAAAAGGCTTTCATTTTTGTACTTATATCACTCATGCAGGGGAAGCAACGTTCAGTGGTGACTTTATGTCAATGATATTAACTCCGATTGGTAGTGCCGAGCTCTGCCTGAAGTAAACGCCGAAAGTGAGAAATCTTGATCAATCCCCTAGGGATAGTTCTGCCCCTGTTGGTTCCGGAGTACTGTGAATTGGCTACCTTCAACTTCACAACGGTTACCATTCTCTAAGAAATGTTTTCTACGATTGCAAGTTTTTTCTGGCACACCTAGAGGAATCAAGGAACAGATTGCACTGGGCACTGCATTCGCGTTGGATGAAGGAGGCGAGGGGAGCTCCAGGGAAGGGGTCCGATGCAGCCAATGCCTGCAGGTGACCAATCCCCGCCGTCGGATGGAGACCTTTTACGAGGTGAGCATCAACAACGTCATCAGCGACCTGATGGAGCTGACCAACCGCTACTCCAAGCAGCGCGGGAGGGTCATAGAGTTCAAGGACGTCCTGTACGGCTACCACCGACTAGACCCGTTGCATGGCGCGGACTACGTGCTGGACCTGCTCCTCACCTACCGCAAGTACCGAGGCCGCAAGATGACCCTCCCTGTGCGGCGCCACGCCTACATCCAGCAGCCCTTTTCCCAGCTCCGCATCCGCGAGGTAGCCCCGCAAAGGACGCGCCGCCCGGTCATCCGCTTCGTCCTCCCGCTCTGCGGCAGACGGGCCACCTTCGAGCGGTTTCTCCGCACATTCCGCGCCGTCTGCCTGGAAGGGGACGATGCCTGCACGCTGCTCGTCGTGCAGTTCCGCCACCAGACGGAAGCGGATGACCTGGAAGGCACCCTTGTCGCGGAGGAGGTCTTGGGCGTCGACTACGACCGCAGAAGGGTCGAGTTCGTCCCTGGAGGCGGAGAATTCTCGAGGGCGGCGGCCCTCGAGCTGGGGGCTTCGCGATTTGGCGCTGAAGAGCTCCTCTTTTTTGTCGACGTGGACATGGTCTTCGACGCCGGGGTGCTGCGGCGCATCCGCAGTCACGTCGCCTGCGGCCGCAGTGCCTACTTTCCCGTTATCTTCAGCCAGTATGACCCCGCATATGCCGAAGGCGTGACGGAGCATCGCGTCGTGACGGAACCTCGTGTTGCGCCGGGAGAGGGCTACTGGCGGCAATTTGGGTTCGGGATCGCGGCCATCTGTAGATCCGACCTGGCGGCAGTCGGGGGGCTTGACGTGACAATCCGTGGCTGGGGCAAGGAGGACGTGGACCTGTACGACCGCGTGGTCGCCTCCAACCTCACGGTGGTCCGTGCACCCGACCCGGGCCTCATCCACGTCTTTCACCCCGTAGAGTGCAGCCCAAGTCTTCCACGTACGCAGTACGAGATGTGCCTGGGCAGCAAGTGGAACAGCGTTGGCTCGGAGCAGACGCTTGCCAAGCTCATCGCGGAGAATCATCTCGATCTCCTTGCGCGAAACTTCAGGCGCTGATGGCGGCTCTACGGCGTCCCACATCAGCTACCGCCTTTCGCCGAGACGTGGTTTATTTGCAGTCTTAGGTAAGTTACTTTCGAAAGGTTACAACAACGAAAAAGTAATTTGAGGCAGCAGCTTCCATAAAATACCAAACATCCGCCCGTGTAACGATAAGCGACCACCCCTCAATTTTGTAACTCTGGGAAGATACAAAAAGGGCAAATCTTTACATATTGTTGACCTAAGTAGTGCCACATTTTGAGTAGGCACTTTCTTAGGATTTTAGGTACTTTTAAAAAGTAATGCTGTTGCTTTTAAGTCACTTTTTCATAAAACTACAAATTTAAATAATGTAAAAAATGCCCCCCCCCCCCCCCCCTGAGTTTATTGGAGAAGCTGCAAGTAAAGTTGGTGCAAGTTGCCACAAGGTAAACATGACAATCCAAAAGTCAGAAAACATAATTTGGAAAGTGCACAAAATGGCTAGGTTGTACTTCCTCAGTGATATCTTAATGCCGAAGAAACTGTTAAAAGTAATGACAAATGTAACTTTGTTACTCTCGTCGTTGCTTGGGAAAAGGTAATAGAACTGCAGTAACAAGTCACAATTCAAAGAGGGAGAGTTACAAAACAAAGTAACCAAGGAAGGGTAGCGCTTTACTACCCATGACTGCTTACTCAAGAGGCTTTCCAGGTACTATTGCCAGTTGTTTTCTTTGCCTGCAATGGTTCGTCCTTGCTGGTGTTACCGTGGGTTAATTTGACTTCGAGCAACTGGTACTGTATGTTCCAAAGCGATGGTGAACCAGTGCTTTTAGAACGCCCTTGATCTCTTAATATCGCTGGTTTAGGTAGTCGTATGACCCTGTTTGGATACCAACGTTCGTGCCTTAACTGTGTCCATGCATTAATTGTTTAAATTGATTGGTACCATTATGCAATTTTTAATAAGGCCAGTGCTATGTTTACTAACTGCCAGTTCACTGTTACCAGTTCGGTAAAGAGAACTCTTGGACGAATGCTGGAATGTCACATTAGTGTGACGCTGGTCAAAGCTCAGTATTACTCATTGCTTTACCGACACAGTGCTCACACCGACTGTGAAGGGAACCGTTTTCGCAAAAGTGACGGCAGTGCACTGTAAGTCACTTAAGGGTGAACTATGAGGTTGGATGTGTGCCCATATCAGTAGCGCCATGCCTAGTTCACTTTAAACGAACATGCTATTTTAATGGTGCATTGATGCCACTCCACTGCCTTTACTACTACTGCTTTACGTTTTTGTGAATCCATTACTCTGTGTTGTCCTATTGGTGCCGGTACTGGCGTCTGTTCCGGTACTTTTCTACGAGCCAAGTGGACTCCCTCGGCATTGTGTAGGTTTCCCGGAGCAGGCTTTGCTGCCCTCTCGGTGCTTCTTCATACCTCTCTGTGCCAGAGTGTAAGAATATGCTAGTCATTTACTTTAGCCATGCCTTTTTACATGTTACCTATTATACATTTCACACTTTTATCAATTTTTGATACCCTTTACGCATGAATTTACAGCATTACTATTTTTCAGATTAGCAGCGGGTTTTCATCCGCTGCAATTTTGACAGCACAAGGCCACAGAATGTCTTTTTTGTACTGTTCTGTTGTTGTTCTTTCTTGTGTTTTGTGTCTTGAGTGTTTTTTCCTTTTGAGCTCAGTTGAAGACCAGTGTGTTACTGTTTACTGCGAATGTCTCGATTATCTACACACTCTTGTGCCTTCTTCTGAGCTGGATCTTTCCAGCTTTCCTTGTAGCCATAGGTACTCGGATTCAAGCGCAGTAATTTAAATTTCATTGTCTTCCAACCTCCCTTCCGCTCAGAAAGATCTTTTTCCTGATATGCTTTTAAGGGATGAAAATTTTACCTTTGTTGACATGTTGCTGTTCGATTGCTTGGTGAAAATAGTAAATGAACAATGTATGTGAAGTATGAGAATGCAGATGACTTGTTGAAGCATCCTTGCGGTGACTTGGGTATAAGAACAAAAACAAAATGAGCTACAAACATGCGCCTTCATAAGATTTTGCATCATCACGGGAGCTAATGACCCTCAAAGTGCCTCAGAAAGTTGTGCGACTTGAAGACATGACATGAAGAGCAAAAATGGCCATCTGACAAAGTTGGGATGTTTTGAACATCCTTCGAAAAATGTGTCATGTTGTATTTTGAATCTCGATTTAATAACAAACTTGCTTCGCTGTCTGCACTTGGCCCCCGATCGTGAAAATAAAATTTTATTTCCCAAAGAGGGCACGATGTGGATGTGAGGTCAATTGTTCATTCATTGGCTGTAATGTTGCGCTGTTTTACCCTTTTCTTTGTTAAAATTCACAGGCTCGACATTTACACCAACCGTTCTTCTGAACGCCACTTGAAGTTAGAGCCTTCGCTGCTGCGAGACGAATGCCTGTGCGTGTGCAGTACCCTTCTTGAAAAAGGTCCATTGGATTACCAGTGCACAAGAAGTAGTTTATGATGAATATCTGTTAACTTTTATAAAATTGCCATTACTTCACTGTGAGATATAGCTGACTTTGTTGTCATTTATTTGGCAATGCTTTTTCAAATGTTTTCGTTGATTTGGCATTCGTTTTTCAAACGTTTTTGCTATGTCCTCCCCCACACATGGTGTTGCGTTCAGGAGGTTCTCGTATGAAAATACATGATCAAGTACTCAAGCGAGCATGGGCACTTCGTCGACCAAAGCAGCAGGAACCTGCTGCAGTGACCTAGATAGGCTCTCCCAAAATCTTGTTCCTATTGTGGCTTATCTTTTGTGCCCAAGTTCTAAGGCGCTTCCTCTCACTCCTTTCTAATCTGCGTGTTATCTCATCCTTGAAATCCTCAAATCCCTGCCAGTTGGCACCAGTTATTTCTAAAATGGCAGATTGTTTCACAAAGTTTATTAATCGCATGATAGGCCTCCAACTGAGCCCACTTTTTAAAGCATGAATTGCTTTTTAAAGTGCAACTCTAGTCAATTTCAAGGAATTTGAGTTCAGCGTAATTATATATTCCTAGTTGACAATAAACGGTTCTACGTAACAGGGTGTTGAGCTGGGCGAGTTGGTAAAAGCGTTCTTTGAAGTCGTTACATACATAGACCATATCAATTATACATAGAACCATATAGAAATTTCTTCCCAACAAAAGTTAATATTTTGTGTGCAGTCTTCATTTTAAAGGGCAACGATTTTGATGTTGAAAGAATCTGAAATTTGTATTTTTCGTAATGTTTATCTAGACACAAGTGACAGAGAATGCGTCGCATTGCCCCGAAAAATTGCTATTCTACTGCGGAATCACCATCTAGTACATACTTTTACTATGTCGTCACCTACATACTTTTACCATGTGGCGAAACGTTGCCATGTGCTACGTTCTTAGATCGTAACTTTGGCCATATGGTACAAATCATGACGTCACGTACGGCAGCCGAGCGTAGAAAGTATTGTCTGCTATGATTGGCAGTCTGCAACGCCTGCACTACCGCGGCAGCAGCTTGTGTTTTAGCGGAGAAAAGGTTAAGTTTCCCAAAGGGCTTGTTTTGAAAATATTTGTAGGAAGTAGAAGTTCAGTAACTACACGTAAATATTGTAGAGACCAAAGAAGAGAACTAGAGTACAAAAAAAGAGAAGGAAAAGAGAAAAAAAAGTGAAAAGAAACCGGCAGATTTTTAAAAAGCCATTGAAAATAACATTTTAAAAAAATTTGTTCGGGACACGCGAAAAAAAAAGATATTTGTTTTAGAGCAATATTGACGGCGCGAGATTTCAAATTCTGAGCACAAAGTCCATGACGTCACGGAATGGTCATACCCTGGCAGATCGTCACGTGACGCAGCCGCCGGAAGCGAGAACGTGGAGCGGCAGACAGGGCAGACGAGAGTCATGTTAACGGGCGCCCCGCTGCGGCGAGACGCCGAAACACACGTGTCCCGAGCGATGAAACGTCCGCTCGTGCTTCTCGCGTTCCTCAGGCTACTGCTTCTTTTCTCGTCGGGTTTGAAAACCATGTTTCGGGTCCTCGCCGCTGCGAAAAGCTGTGTGCTGAATACCAGATTCGCCGAGAAATGATCTGTGCTACCATATCCTCGCGCTCCAAATCTGCGACCGGGCACTCATGGCTCCTTCATCGAACTGACTTTGTGAGTATAGAGGAGGCTATGTCATAACACACGTTGCACCTCAACGAGATGGTCATACTCATCAATAGTGACAGATGGCCCAGTTGGTACATGATCTCTTTTGACAAAATGCGCCGCAAGACGGCCAGAGTAAGGGAGACAACACGAAGCGCTGCTTTCAACTAAATGTTTATTAAAACAACACACTATACACCCAGTCGGGCTTCTCAAACAGGAATTTAAATTCCTTGTGTGTTAGGCGGACTGTCGGAGCACGTATGCATCTATCATCCCCCTGCAATCTAATGTTGAATGACTCGTACAGCTCTCCCGAGATTTTGCTTCTTAGCCTTCCCAGAAGGAAGAGACAATCGTGTATGCGCACTGGGCGCTTTTGTCACTGACTTTCATCTACCGACTAAATCGCGTTTCTCGCCGTCAATATTGCTCCAAAAAAATATTGTTTTCGCGTGACATTAATTTCTCGACACGCAAACAAATCCCACCCAAATGTTTTCGATCCCGGACAGAACGCTGTAACGTTCTGTTCGGGGAGGTGTGGTTGCAGTAGAGTCCGTGGCGTCAGACATTCCAACGATGCTCGGCCCCCCAGCTACCAGTTGGTATGGAGGAATCGTTTTATACGTTTTAAAATTGCTTTGCTTGCGTTTGCGGACAACAAAAGTGGTGTTTGTGCGCCGCTGTCATAAGAGAGACCACGTTTACACAAAGAAATAGGCGCTAAGCTGTTGCTATGGTGACCCTTACGACGAGCCAATGGGAAGGCGCTGTGCTGGACAACGCAGTCGACGCAAGCCTTAGGACGGCTGTATAATTGGACACACACACACACACACACGCACACACACACACCAATTTAGTCACATCCACGGCGTGAACCAGTATATACCTGTTGCAGACCGACATCAAGCTGTCTGAACACTCACGTCCAATCCTTGGTTCAGCCGGTGGCGAATCCAAGGGGGGGGGGGGGGGGGGGAGGGGGGCGGAGGCCCCCCCCCCCCCTCCCAAGCAAAGTTGACTCCCCTCCCTCCCCCCCTTCTTGGAGGGCAATATGACATGGGTGGACCCCCCTTGCACAAGAAAGAGTGGGAGAATAGTATCCTTAAAAAGTCCCCCCCCCCCCAAAAAAAAAAAAGAACAAAAAAAAGCAAAAAAAAAAAAAAACGGAGTTCTGGATCTTCCCCTGGGTTCAGCAAATGAAAAAGTATGTGTCAGTGCTGAGCGCATCGATTTTGTGACTCCCAACCCCCTCCCCAAGTTAACTAGGCAATCTTGTGCATTTTGTCTGAAAGCCGCGATACGGATTGGCGACATTTCTGTGGCCTCCTGCGGGCGTGCGCTTGTGCTGGTAATGATACACCTGCCTTCTTTGTGTCCATGCGGGTGGCCTTGGTCTAATGGCCACGCGAGATTATGGCTAAATTGACACTAATTGCCTACGGACTAGAGGAATGGTGACAAGACGCATTTTCCTTACCGACTTCCGTCGGACGGTGTAATTTCCTGACCCAGTTATCGGATGTTAGAGAGAAAGCGTGCGGCGTTTACTCCTTCAGGAACAACTTTCTCTTATCCAACGGCAAATCTCTACCATTTTTTTTTTTCTTTTTCGGATAAATTGGAAAATCTTTGAAAACACCCGCCAATAAAAAGTTCGTGAATTCAGAATAAAAAACAAACAAATTAGCTGTTTATACAGCAGGATTTTAGTCTGCCAAAACATGGCGACATTGTTACGCAATGTAGATAAGCAATTTAGCCAATGCAGCACTACTGCTAGCCTGGGGTCTTTAACGTGCACCACGCAGTAGTGATACATGACCGCACGCCGGTACGATGCTCATCCAGATTGAAACGGGCAGGGGTGGGGATTAGAGTCACTGAATAGGTTTCCAGAATACCGAACCTCCCATGCTCCGCGCCGTTGCGCTCAAATTCATCCATACCCGTGTCGCCATTTTGGGTCCTTGAATAGTACACTGTACAATAACTACACGCGCATACCGCGTCGCTGGCGTTGTCGAAATGTCTTTCAGGTAAACCTATGGCGCTGTGGATAGCCGCGCTTTAAATCATTTGCGACATCACTTACAATGCAGTCTAGCTGCACTCGTGTAATCATTACTCATGGTTCACGTTAAAGGGGTAGGGAAACGAAATTTCAGCGATCATTTTCTAGCTTTAATGTGTTGCCTGTTGCACCCTAACCTCAAAAACACCAGTCTTTCGTTGAAAAGCACTAGAAAACTAATTTTAAAGCTAAATAAACGATCTTCAATGTGCACCTGGTGGATGCATGCGGAGCCTATTTGGGAGGTAGTCTAGCAACGTTGTGGAATGTGCTACGTAGTCGTGACGTAGCAGATTCCTTCGGAGCAGCGCCGCTCTTTGGCATTTCAACGTTTTCCTTCTTAGCTTTCCTCCTCAACTCACAAGTCGCGCATTGTACCAAGCGGTCCAAGAAGACGGAACGGAAAGACTCCCCTCTTTCTCGCACCCTCGTTCGTGCAACCGGAAACAACCATTCTCCCCCTAGAAGATTAGCCCGGCGCTCAAAACTCGAACAAAAGTTGCTTTCCCCACCTCGTTCTGCACTAAGCTGACAGTGTTGTGGAAGCTACGTGCTCCTTGGGCCAGCCACACGCTCGTCACCCCACGGGTACTTCGAACGGGCAAAGCTCATAATCACGCCAGCCTTGCTACGTCACGAACGCTTCTTTTCGAATCTTTTCTTTTCTGTTTTTGTTTGCGCCGGATATCCCATGACGCATGGCGCTCTCCGTTCGCTTCTCTTCGAGCGCTTGCTCGAGTGCACCGTTTGGAACGAAAAACAGCCAATCGTTCAAAATATAAACGTTCGATTATCATTTACGGTTAGGTTATTATCCGTCATGCTTGACTCATTTACGAACGAACTTTGAATATTTCAATTTTTGTTTCCGTACCCCTTTAAAGACCCCCAGGTTAGTAGTCATAGCTCACTGGTAAAATCTCATTCTGAGATGAGTCGCCTATCACTGTCTAAATATGGCGAACTTCATCGCTCATAGCTCAGCCGCTTATTTCTTCACCCCATTACCCCATTAAGCCGTTGGCTTTTTTTTTTTTTTTTTACGCGTTTTGATCATTTGAACGAGGGTCGTATAAATGCAGAAGCATTTCATTGATTTATTTACAACACCATACAAGATGTTCAGGAGTAGGGATGAACAGGATAGATTGAAACATAGTATAAAGTCCTTGTGATAGCTTGAACACTGCTGTGCTGGCCAAATTAAGTTTGCAGCGAAGTTCAGCAATGATTTCCCCATGACGATGTTCAAGGCAGTTGGCCGTCGACGCTATCTCGGTAAATGGTTATGGCAGACAAATGGAACTGACGGTGAGTTACGAGAATGGCTTTATATGAAATCCATGACTGTCTAAACCGCAAACACCAAAGATGTTTGTGTCATCGTTCATTCCACCTGAGCAGCAAGATGCATCTTATCCACTCGGGGCATCAAGTGACATACCCAGGTAATACCGCGCAGTCAAGGCTTCATTCATAATTTTTGTACCACAAAAAAAATAAAAAAAAACTCAATTGACAATACCAATGATACCAAATGAAAAATGACAATGACAAATGACATACAAGACTTTTCTTAAATTGCGTTGAGTCACCCGGACATTTGTGCTTCGAATTTTGCATGCAAAGCTACTCCTTGAATTTTATTTATATTTTTTTTTGTTACGCTTCGTTATAATCGAGGCAGAATAAAAAACACTGCAATATAATACTTATTCACAAGCAGCCGTTTTCAAGCATCGTTCGTGCCGGACCTCGTTCAATCGAAGCAGCCTAATCGGCTGCGAGGCGTCGAGCAATACGCGGAGAAGACAAATGCACTAACCTCGCAGATCTTGCTTCCTGTTGTGGGCTTGAAATTCTTTAGTTTTAGAATAGCAAGCCAGGCACTCCTCCACTTCAAATTGAGGCTCATTCACACTGCCCCATGCTCTTATAGACCTTTCCAAAAAGGAGCATGTGGCCGGTGTCATTTTGAGTGTTCGTGCGTATGGCGCGTGCTTTGCTCGCTTTCCGAAGCAACGAACACGCACGTGCTGGGCTGTGAAGATCGCACGCTGGACTGTGATTTTGTAAACATTGGAAAGGTCTATACGCTAAGTTACGTTACGTATAAGTCACCGCAACTTTCGTGTCTCGAATGTCCCTTCCTTAATATGAAGCACAGAGGCCCCGGTGACTTCAACGTAATATTTCGTAACGAAACTTAACGTAAGAAAATGGGGCAGTGTGAACCAGGGGGGCTATGTTGCGCTTTTTGCGCAACATAGCCCCCCTGGAGGGAGAGGGAAGTGACGTCAACGACACAGCAAACGCAGATTGGATGTTGATTTCGTTTTCTTCTGTCAACATCCAACCTGCATTTGCTGTGTCGTTGACGTCACTTCCCTCTTCCAAGTCTCCTGGGAGTGCAAAAAGCGCAACATAGCACCCCTGCCTTCAGCGTTCTTGCCTGACGGGAAGCGGAAAGTCTTTCGCCGTTCTCCAACCTGCTTCGGCACCCGAAGGCACAGCAAAGCAGGCATATGGGAGTCGCAAAATCTTAAGATGTGATTCCATGAAAATACGTGGTTAACCTCAACGCTGAGTGGCTAAGAAGAGACCCGGAGCATTGCGCCTGAAGCTGGCTGGATCCAATATGGCGGCTCATGGCGGCGATTAGAAAGAAATGATAATGATAGTGACGGCAAGCGTGACGTACTGCTGCCGTCCAGTGATGCCGCATAAAATCGAAACATAAACGGCTAGAGTGGGACTGTTGTCGGCAAAGCATTGAGAGAATGGGAATGCGGTTTTATCCGATAAACTCCAAATTTCAATGTTCCAATGTAAAAAAAAAAAAAAAAGAAAAACAAAGAATGCTAATATACAATTAAGTTTGGTCGAAGCACACGCTCAATAGCAAAGTATTTGTCAATAGCCGTAAGAAAATGTCACCTCAGTTTTCTCTCAAATCTCGAATCATTGACCAACAAGTCATTGTTTGTATACCTCTGGGTCAGGATAAAAACCACTGCTCCGGTTTCTAGTTTGGACCATATGTGCTTCTTAGAGGAAGGACGGGTTGTGTTTTTGTCACAGTGTAATCTATAAACCATAGACATTTCATAGAAGGGGGAAAGGGGAGGGGGGGGGGCGGTAGCTTGAAACTTCTATATTAATTTACCACTCCACCACACAAAGCCTGGCACATCGACGACGGAGCCATAGAGCGCGCGGCCGCAGGAAAAAGGAGAGGGGGAGCGCGCCGAACGGTGACCAATATGGTAGCGCAGAGCAGAAAAGGCAGACCTAGACAGCGAGCGCTTGGGTCATGAGCGGCCGCTCCCCGAACCACGCTTGTTTTTGTGTTTTCGTCACCGTCGTTTTCGCACTCCGGGAGAAACGGGCGCGGCGATTCGAAAGGGCGCAGGGAGAAACGGGAAAGGGTGGACGTTGAGTTTCTTCCTCCACGATAGCGACAAGAAAAGAGAGAGAGAAAAAAAAAAGATTGTTTCTGCGTTTGGCCGCTCGCTCTTTTGTGGCGCTAGCAGGCAAGGTTCTCTCCGCTCCCCTTTCTCCGCCCCTCCTTTCCCATTTACGGCGGCCGTCTTTTCACGCGACGCGCCAGGCTTTCTCCGTGTAGAGGAGGCTATGACCACACGCAGCCGCGGGGTAGCGCGTGATTGAAAAGGATGGGATCAAAAGCGAGCTTCCCAGCTGATGGAGATTAGGAGTTTAGTAATCTTAAGATATCAACGTTTATTGAAGTAACACTTGTTTGGAAGTTTTGTCAGTGGACAGATCAGTATTGCCAATGGCAAGGGCGCCGCTGCCAAATCCAATTGAAGAAATATTATTCAATACGAGCGCATTCTTTTAAATCCGGCTCACATTTACACCCGGATATCGTTTATTATTAGTTTTGAAGAATAGGAAATACTGCAACTTGAAGCTCCGAGTTTGGGAGAGTTGGGAATCTAACAAATATAAACTCCGATCAACTGCGTCTTTGCGGCAAAAAATAAACTCCGAGAAACACGCCCCCATAGCTATAAGATTTTTTTAGGGTATCAACGGCGTTCAAATCAGGGGCGACTTTACTCTGCGAAAGTCATTAGTCCGTAAAAAATAACTCCCACTAATAACTGCATTGATATTTCTCTTACAGTAATGTTGTTACCGTGGTGTTAGCATCGTTATTGTTGCTGCGTTTTGCATAATTATTCTGAACATTGTTGTTGCTGGCATTTCCATTGTAGTTGTTCGTAAAGCTATTCTGAGTTGTGCTGTCGTTCTCAAGATCTTGTCTTGTACTAGCAACACTATTCTTAGCAGGGTTGTCGCCGTCGTAGTAACTGAAAGCATGGCTTTCGCTAGCAATGTTATGGGAGTTGCTGTTTGGATAGCTATTCTGAGTGTTGCTTTTGTTGGCATTTCTATTGTAGTTGGTGTTTGTAATAATATTCGGAGTTCTGCTGTCGTTCTCAAGAGCGTGTTTCGTGATGGCAGCACTATTCTTAGCAGGGTTGTCGCCGTCGTAGTAACTGAAAGCATGGCTTTCGCTAGCATTGTTATTGGAGTTGCTGTTTGCATAGCTATTCTGAGTTTTGCTTTTGTTGGCATTTCTATTGTAGTTGGTGTTTGCCATAATATTCGGAGTTATGCTGTCGTTCTCAAGAGCTTGTCTTGTGATGGCAGCACTATTCTTCGTAGGGCTATCGCCATCGTAGGATTCGAAAGCGTTTCTTTCGCTAGCGTTGTTATTGTAGCTGCTCATTGCATAGCTATTCTGAGTATTGCTGTTGATATCATTCTTATCGTAGCTGCTGTTTGCGAAGCTATTCTGAGTAGTGCTGTTCCTATGGAGGGCGTGTCTTAGGGTATTTTTAGCATAATTGTCGTCGTCGTAGTCGATGAAGGCATAGCTTTTGCTTGCATAGCTGCTTGTAGGACGACTCTTGGTACGATCGCTGTCGGTTTGATGACTGTTGGCGCTGTTGAGGTGGCTGCTACTAGCGCCGTCCGCCAGTTCGGTGGAGTGCGTTGGTCCCGGCTGCCGCCCAGGCTGAGGCGGCAGGGGAGGCATCTGGTGCGGGGGCAGAGGCAGTGGCGGCTGTAGAGGCGGCGCAGTTGGTGACCACGCCGTTGAGGGCGTTGGTGTCGCACTGGCCGAGATCGTCTGGGACTGGTAGGCTGCAAGAAGTGAAGGACCCACTTACGGCCGTTCTGTGCTCCGCGTCTGTGCTCACCGAGAAACAGCGTGGTGGCATATCCGCTGGTCAGAACAGCCGTGACGCTGACGACAGCGCAGAGTTTCCGGCGTGCTGTCTTCTCGCTCTCGGCAAGCAGACTGTCACTGAGACGGGGGTCCGCGGCACTTGACCGAGGCGTCAATGCCATGCTTCCGATGCTTCTTCCAGGTTCGCACGCGCCCTTGCGTTCGCTGTTGCGCACCTCGTCAACGAGCAGCGCGGATCAACTCGCTGGAATCGGGAAGGGATGCCGAGATTAGAACGGAAAGCTGGCGCAACAGCCGGCCCATTAGATGTTCACGTGCGCCCAAGCGTTTTCTTTTTCTGTGTTGACATTTTTATGTTTCGACGTTTAGACCATTTCAGAAATCTGTGGCGCCGTTTCTCGATGCACGTGCCGCATTCGGTGTATGGCACCTGAAAGGATATCTTTTACAAAGTTGGCTGGAGGGGGAGGTGTGATCCTGGTGGGCTCATCACACACATCTACTTCCTCTTCAGGCAATTTAGAGTGTCTCATACAAACGCGCTAATGGCGAATTCGCGTGGTCATTTCCCGGCAAAATATTTTGCCATATCTCCACCAAGGGCGTTCGCGTGGTCAAAGGCTGGCGAGTGCGCGCCGTTCGGGTGGCAGTTCTCAGGCGTGTGCTGGCAATTTACCGGCACAATTTTTGCCCGAGCTCCAAGAGGTCGGGCAGCTTGTCTGCCAGACTGTATCCGGTATCGTCATATCCGAATCGGGAAAGGGAACCAAACGAAACAATGGTCGCCGAGAGCGTGTTCTAGAAAACGAAGCCACTGAGCCAGACACCCCTCTGTGGTCCGAGAAAGACAGCAAAAACAACGGAGATAAAGATAAAATATTTTAAAGGAAGCTTCCGCAAGATCAGTTTCCTATGGGACACAGCGTGTTATTGCACCGCTGTAAAAAATGTATTGATAGTGCTGCAGCTCGACACTTGAACGCGCATTACTATTTTAGAGGGCTGGGTCAAATCAAAATGCTGAGGATTCCAGCAAAAAGGTAATAACAAGAAAATGGAATATAAAATGGCGACGCTGGTGAGCCTTCCAGTATCCTTGTAAGATGGCAACAGTTCCTCGAGAATCTAAACAAAATATATTACAATTTATTTACCCACATCTCAGAGTCCAAATATATGTTGCTGATGCCTAGAGCGTGCCTATTGTATCATAAAATAATCGTGGAAGAAGTTAACGAAGTTCACGAGCGACCCAGGCAGACGAAAACGCCAGTTGCAGGCGCTTTGTGTTCGGGTGGGGAGGGTCACGTGGTGCGCCGCTGGCGCGGTTTTCGTTGCCTGTGCCGCCGGCGTGAGCTCGCCGGCGATTGACCACCCGAATTCGCCATAAGACAATTGCAAGCATGGCGCCTCCTGGCGCCTCACTGGTGCCCCATGCGTTCAAGCATGTGCAGCGTGCGCGCGAACGTAGGAACGTAGCTGCACTCGTGTAGTAATTACTCTAAGCTTCACGTTAAAACCCGAGGTTAGCAGTCACACCTCGCTGGTCAAATACCTAATTATGAGATGAGCCATCTATCACTGTATAACTATACAGAAATACAAATAATTCACTCTACGAGGGTGGTGTGCGCCGTGTTCCAATTGCAGTGGCAAACTTTACCCTCGTTCCGTCACTGGTGACCTTCGCGACGTCACTCGTGACGCTTGAGACGTCACATGTAACCCTCATGATGCCACTAGCGACCCTCGTGACGTCATTCGTGGCCCTCGTAACGTCACTGGTGACCCTCCTGACGTCATTCGTGGCCCTCGTGGCGTCACGCGGTTACGCCGACGCCGCTCAACTCGGAGCTGCGCTCTAAAAAAACAACAACCGCATCTACACGTGGTGAATGATGTTGATTGGGGCGAAGCTCTGGCGGTGCTTGTCTGCGTAGACGGTGAGCCGCAGCATGCCGAGCCTCTCGTTCGTTTTCATCCATGTCACGCTGCGGTCAAATGCTCAAATGCGTATATGACATCGTTGCATACCACACATTCTCTTTCTGACATGGATGAAAACGAACGAAAGGCTCGGCATGCTGCGGCTCAGCGTCTACGCAGACAAGCACCACCAGAGCTAGCTTCGCCCCAATCAACATCATTCACCACGTGGAGATGCGGTTGTTGTTTTTTTGCCCTACACGAGCACGGGAGCACGTGCTCACGTGCTCGTGACCCGACGGTACCGACGGCGGACGGACATACGGGCTGTGTTCCAAATCTTACCCAAATGAATCACTCCGGCGGGTCGTGTCACGTGACATCACAAATTGAAGAACGCTGGACGCGGGTAGGTTTTGGAACGCCAAGGTACAAAACTCTTACCCTGGAGTAAGATCGAGTAAATTCTGGAACACAGCCACGGACATGGCTAGCCCCTAAAAAAAAAAAAAAAAAATGGTGGTATGGCGGCTGCTTACGGAACTTGGCCGGGTCTCATACTCCTGATGAGATCAGTTGATTTTCATCTCAGTCACCTCCTGCCTCCATGCCGTGGCACTATCGTCGCTCCCATCAACCTTCAGCACCCCGCACTGGCACGTGCGCGTCGAGCTTCACCGCGTCGCATCGGCGTGTTAGGAGAACAAGGCTTACGCGGGGGAACACCCCTGGTTGAGCGCGATGACCTCGGAAATAAGGTTCGCTACGTATTACATGCCGAAGTTTTTTATTCTTGATTCGAGGTCCACTTTCCATTCTATAGAGAGTGGTGCCGAGAAAGAAAACAACGAGAAACGCGGAACTACATTTGAGTAAGTAGTGAAGGTAGTTCCCTCGCAGCTGTCGATCGAAAGAGCCCCGCGGACTTCAACTCAACCCTTGCTTCAATGCCGCTAATACCCCTGTTACACGGGCACACTTAACCGCGGTTAACTCAGCTTAACTGCTGTTACACGGCACCACTGATACCGCACTATACTCTCTGGCAGCTATTCCATAAGAAGTGAAGAGGGCGCGTGCACTGCTTCGATGGATGATCAAGATGCTCAAGCGCATGTTCGCCCATAGGTTTGACTGCATAGCCGCAGAATGTTGTCAGCAAATATTGTGCGCTAACTGTGGCTTAGCGTAACTGCAGTTAAGTGTGCCCGTACGGGCACACTTAACCGCGGTTAACTCAGCTTAACTGCTGTTACACGGCACCGCTGATACCGCACTATACTCTCTGACAGCTATTCCATAAGAAGTGAAGAGCGCGCGTGCACTGCTTCGATGGATGATCAAGATGCTCAAGCGCACGTTCGCCCATAGCTTTGACTGCATAGCCGCAGAATGTTGTCAGCAAATATTGTGCGCTAACTGTGGCTTAGCGTAACTGCAGTTACGTGTGCCCGTGTAACAAGGGTATAACTCTTTTAGAATTAAGTGTGTGACTTTTAACGCTCAACTTTAATCTTTGTTGATATTAGGGGGAGGGATTCGCAGTACATGATATTAGCTAGATGTTTTAGTTTTGTAGGTTCATAAATCTTGGTGGCACATACTTTCAATAATCGACGTTTTAGAGAATAATGCTAGGAATTTTTTTTTTCTTTTTCTGTTTCAAAATTTTACAAATACGGTGTGGGAGAGACACTTTATCTCAAATGAAGTATCTTGCTATGATTAATTTTTTTGCAGCCAGTTTTGTCTTTATCTCCGTTATAAACAGACTTTGACTTGAGCTCTATTTTTTAAAAAGAAATGCGTGTGTCACGTTGTACTTTTTTATGATTATTTAAAAGCATTATAAAGGTGATAAGTAACATACTCCAATATCAAAGATGAACACCCAATCATTAGCAAGGTTTGCCTCATTTAGTGATGCAATCATTTAATTTTTAAGTCATGTTGCTAACACATGCTCGGGTTGGCTCCAAAAGGCTCCCAAAACTAACATCATATGCCTGCTAAAAGATGCCACTTCGTGATTTCAGAGCGGCTTTGTATTCTTCTCTCAGCTCAATGATGAGATATGATTCCGTGTTTTTGGAGTGCATTTTTCCTGAGATCCAGGACGTGTTTATCGGGGTGTATTTTTCACCGACGGAGTTTATCGGATTTATTTCTGTTGGATCCCCGATTCTCCGAAATTCCGAACTTAATTTTTTCGTTTTCCTAATTTTTCAAAATTAAAATAAATAATATTCAGATTCAAACGTACACTGAGCCTAGAGGAAACTCACCTGTATGGAATTATATTTCTTCTCATGCAATTTGGTGTTGAGGTCCTTTCCATTCGCATTACTAACTGTCCCGCGACAGATCTCGAAAAGAACTGTGAATACTTTAAAGGGCAACTCCGGCCAAAACTCAAAATGAAATAAATTACTGGTATCGCTGTAATGACACAAAATACGACCCCAGCCAAAATATTACGTCCGGGGGACGCCGCATTCTCAACTAATGCCGATAATAAAAATGCGACCGGCCGCGAGCCGCTGCTCCTTCGCGGGCGGCCACCGGGTTGCCGATCGCTAAAGCAACATTGGGCCGTGACTTCAGTATCGTTCTCTTTTTTTTCCTCCGGTCCGGGCGTAGCGCGGAGTGCGCTTCTTTGAGGCGCTACCACCGCTACTTCGGCTTGTGATTGGCGTGTTTAGCCGTTGCTTTCATCTGTAGCCCGTGTAGCTTCGGTGTAGCCGTTTGTTTATTTGCTTGTGAGGACTCCAAGACTCGTTTTAGCGAGCAACTCGGTACGCCAAAGACTGCCCAGCTGTTCCTCGAAAGATGCCGAGTACCACTTGCAGCGCTGTGGCCTGCTCGCACAACCCGCTGCGCAACCCGGAGGTGCTTTTTCACAAGTTTCCAACGGACCGGAAATTGGAGAAGGTGTGGGTGAACGCTGTTCGACGAGTGGACTTTGGACTTGGGCTTTTACGCGCCCGAGGAGAAAAAAACGAAAAAACAGACGTGTACAGCCCCGCACATGTGTGTTCGGGCGCCGCGGCCCACGCCGGAGAGCCTAAAAGCTTCGTGTCTGGGACTGACCCGCAGCGGGAAAGCGAGAGGGCCCCGAGTACTGTATACGTCACTGGCAGCGCGGCGTAGAGGAATGCTGCTCCGTCCACGGAGCCCCGATGACAATTTAGGCCTAGCGACGAGTACGGAAGACCGTACGCACGGCGACAGCCACCGAGTACGGCACCGAGCGAGTTCACTCGTTTTCCAGTCGCTAGCTTCTGGGTATACAAGCGACGAGTACGGCATAGCGCACTCACGGCGGCGGCCAACGAGTACGGCACCGAACGAGTTCACGGGTTTTCCAGTCGCTAGCTTTTGAAAATACGCACTAACTCTTGCTACATGTGCTGGATAAATACCACCTATACAGAATTAAAATAAAATCAGCTTACCTCCTATCTTTAGACTGCTAGCGCAACAAAGTTAAGCGCCGCTCGGCCTGCGTACTCGTTGAACGAGAACGATCATGACGTCACGTTCACATTGCGGCTGATTTCCAGTGTTGCCGGGGCCTCGAGCGGCTAGTTTCGGTTTTGTTGGCCGCGCCCCAAACAAAACTTTGAGGCGTCATATCTTTAAAACTACGCACAATAACGAGAAAAAAATTACACCGTGCAATTCAGGGACGCTGACTGCGCTAAAAACTGTCATAATCCCAAAATTGAAAGTATGGACCGGAGTTGCCCTTTAAAATCCCAAAACGCCCGGGTCTACAAAGCTCTTCCCATCCAAATATTTCACCACTCCGCGGCCATGTGGGGTCAAGTGACGGAAGGAGTGTTATAAAAGCTTCAACAATTGCGCCCCCTTTTTGTGTGAAATCGGCGGTTTTTTCGAGGAGGGTTGCGAACCTTGGAAGGGGGTGGCGAATTCAGTCGCATGGCGACAGGGGCACCACGTTTTCAGGGTTACAGAACCCTCCCTGCGTCTTGTGAATATGTGAGCCAGATAAGCTCACATAATAGCTCTCCAAAGTTTCTTTTATACCTTCGCATTTATTACAAAGAAAGCTCAATTGGGACAAAGTATCGTATGAACTCAACACGACGACTCATATTTACAAAAAAAAAAAAAAAAAACATTTTGTACAGTAAACAGGGAGAAAAAAACTCGCTAAGGAAACAGGTAACACACGCGGGTCTCAGGCTCATCCTCCTAATGCTTCTGAAAATTCTCGTACAACGTCTGCACCAGGATGTTGGAAGGGCCACAGTAGCCCCGGTAGTCATCGCTCGTCACGTCCCAGATCATGACTCCAGCGAGGGAGCGATTCCGCACGTAGTCCGCCTTCAGGGTCAGGCTCTGCTCGTCTTCGAAGGTCAGCCACTGGTCCCCGGAATAAGCGTAAGCGCATCCAGCCCGCGGGTCCCAGACCCGAGTCCAGTTTCCTGACTGCAGTTGACGACAGAGCTCAAAGTAGGCCAGGGCACCGGGGTTCTTGGTAATGGGACCCGGCAGACCGCGGCTCATACCGGCCAGCAGGACCGAGCCGGGTCTGTGGTCGGAACCATCGTCAAGCGTGTAAGCGATGCTCTCGAAAGACACACTGGGGATCAGCTTGTGTACGGGGACGCCGCTCGAGATGGCTCGCTCGACGGCGGAGTCGAAGGTCTGGTTGCCCGGGCCTCGCAGAGGACTCGAGAACTCCGCGAAGACCTGACTGCGGAAGCCGTGGGCCACCACGACCGCGTAGTCGACGTACGAGCAGATCTTTCCTCCGAGGAGAGGCTTGTCGAACAGGTCCGTCTCTGGCTCGAACACCAGGACGAGGGTGAGTCCGTGCCGCTCGAAGTGCACCCAGAGTTTCTGCAAGAGGATGACGATGCCACGACGGTTGTCGTCAGTGCTGCCCGTGAACATGTGGTGGATGACCAGTCCGTCGAAGCCGTTGCCCAGCGTCCAGCGTAACACGGCGCTGCAGAACTGCACCGTGCTGTGCATGGTTTCGGCCGCGTATCGGAACAGGTTGTTGCTCGTTTCGTGATCGCCTACGGAGACGAGGATGCGCAGCGCAGGCCGGACCTTCTTGAGTCGAACCATGTCGCGGTAGAGGTTCGGATGCGTGACCTTGTGCGTGTAGTCGTAATGGAGCATGTCTTCGGTCCAGTCCGCGGCGCCCGACAGTGGGAACACCACATGCGAGCACCACGGAGAGGGCACCTAAGAAGGAAATCGTAGACGAAAGCCATTTTAACGCGAGGTCCGTAGTAATTTGGCTTATTTCTCACGACCGATCCCTGGCCAATCCCTCTTTGGACACCTGCCTACAACTTAACCTAACCTAAGACTAACCTAATTTTCACACACGAAATAGTGTCATCATCATCATCATAATCGTAATCTCATTCGAGGAACTTGACAGTTCCTCGAATAGACTAGCATATATACGCTGCACTGTTGTCAGACCCAGTCTCCGCACGGATCGCTGAGAAGAGTTTTCGTGCGCAAGCTCCGGGCTTTAGGAAAATAACGAAAGTAATCGCAAATCAGATACACCGTAACTCAACCTAAGGAGATACTCTCGAACATAATGCTAAATTGTGATATGTGCACCCTAAATTAAAGATTGTTATTATCAAGTTTAAGCAAGGATGCAGGTGAGCTTGTTTGAGGTAGACATTTTGACATGGGGAGCCAGATCCCAAAGACAAACATCCGAAATTATGAACTGCACGTGAGCATGGCCGTCGTACTCACTAATCATCCTCGAGGGTGCCTAGAATCCCCGTACCTGATCGGGACTGTACCGCATGGGCGGCTCCCGGTTGTAGCTGGACACGTTGATCATGCACACGACGAGCGGCCTGTCGGGCCCGGCACTCTGCTGCGAGGCGGCGCTACCCGGCGGGCGCATGTCTTGCAGCACGAAGGGCTTCTCCCGCTTGAGCGTGGTGAGCAGGATGCCCGGCAGCACGAAGATGAAGACCACGAAGAAGATGAGACAGGCGCTGCCAGTGTGCACCAGGGCGCTGTTGATGAACGGGTCGCCCAGGCCGACGGCCGCCTGGCTGCCCCGCACCCCGACCAGCGTCGTCTCTTCGTTTTCCATGCGGGTTCCCTAGGCCTCTGCCATACCTCCACTGCCTCCACTGCGGCGTTGCACCGCTTTCTTTGTCTTCTACCATCGGGAGACAGTTCCGGCTAGATCTGGCACGCCCGGCTGGCACGGACACGGAGGAAACGGGTCTGGCTGAAGCCCCTCGATGTGTTTGCGCTCGTCTTGCACCAATGCACGAGGCCCGTGTCTCGAGTGGTCCTTGGTATACCAGCAAATGGCGGCGCGGCACTGAATGAGCCCCACCCCTGCCCGTTTCGATCTGGATGAGCATCGTACCGGCGTGCGGTCGTGTATCACTACTGCGTGGTGCACGTTAAAGACCCCAGGCTAGCGGTTGTACTGCACTGGCTAAATTGCTCATCTACAGCGTGTGACTCGTCGCACTTTTAATGGCTGACCAACTACACGCTGTATAAGCATCCCCACAACCCAATTATTATTAATGGCGGTGGAGCACCCGGTTCGTGGCACGTGTCTAGCGCGTTTCCAGAACCAGCTGGCCGCTATTACCTAGGGTGCCTCAATGTCCTTCTGTTTAGGGTGATGCCATCGTTTGTAGTACCCGATGCCGACAGCACGCGCTCACGGGTAAAATACAAAGAAATTGCAGGAAACAAAATGTCGCCGTAGCACAGTCAGCGCCACGAGCGCGTGCAGGGACACGCTCTTTCACGCGCTTCAGAACAAAAAATAAAAATAACGTTCGAAACAAAATGGCCAGATGTCATCACCCCAAGCAAAGCGCACATGAAGGCACCCTACTATTACCGCTCATTCACACTGGAAGCGGATCCGCGTGCAATTGTACTGGATCTTTATACAACCGCGTTCGCAACCGCTTTGCGAACGCGGATCCGCTTCCAGTGTGAATGAGTGGTTAGAGACGACCTGAGCAGCAGTTGACATGAAACAAGTGAGGTTAGTCGTGGTTGAGCGACCCGCCATAAAACCATGTTGGCTAGGGATGAGATAACGTTTTAGCTTAAACGACAATATTTTGTGCAAAGCTGTTTTGAAGAGTTTTGAAAATGTACAAAGAAGAGATATAGGCCGGGAAACACTTCAGTTTTTACGCAGTTGTTAAAAATGTGTACCAAAATAGGGATACATATTGCACTATAGGCCTTCAATAGGACCGACGGAACGCCGTCATGGCCAGAGGACAAAGACAACTTCATCTTCTTTACACACTCATGTAATAGCTCCTCAAAAAAAAAAAAAAAACGCAATACAGGTTGCATTACTAGAGGCAGCTAGCGGCGTTAATGGGAGAGTTCGGTCGATGCCTAAATACGGACTGAAAGTGGTGGGCAAAAATTTTGCAAACACCTGTGGTCGAGGTTGCCTGTGAGTTCAGCAATTAAAACTCCCTCCCGCATTTTGTCTTTGATCGAGGCCGAACATATTTCCAAAATTCCATGGGATTCTGAGTTAAATGTAACTCAACAGAATTAACGTACGTCTGACAATCACGCCTCATAACTTCCTTGCATGAAGACCTTAGACGCCTAAATTCTGATTTCCATCCAGGAAGACTGTTCTTTTTTACATTCTCTGTGAGCGTGCAACTTTGTATTCATTAATCTGCGTAATTCATGTGAGAACCATAAGGAAAACCTAGAACCTGCGGTTCTTCGTAACGGGATAAACTGGTGCATCCCTTCTCGAACGATGCGTGTGAACTCACGGACCTGTTCATCAACGTCAGTGCATCGAGTGATCGATGACCAATCGTAATCGGCAAAATGGTTATATAAACCAATGTAATGTCCAGCGGAAAAATTGTGACTGGTTGCATTAGAATGACTCCGTAAACAACGCCTCATGCCCTCTCGAAGAGCTACCACGATCCCCAGAGGGGGGTGATATCTGTCAGGTGGAACTAAACTTGAGGCACACTCAGTTATACGTATACCATCTAAATCTGAGAAACACAAATCAAGCATGTTTCCCTGGCAATTGGGAATACAATTGTGTTGCTTTAAATTCGTAAATGATGCAAAGTAAGAACGTAGATTTCTGAGCAAAGTAGTAATTATTAGAAGACGCTAATAATAATAATAATAATAATAATTTATTTTTTTCTGATGCGACGAAGTATGATTCGGGTCTGCCAAAGCCAGAATTGACTTGTGTGGCTAATCCTCCTGCGCCAGTAGTAAAGTTATAAAATCAATTAATTTAAACAACATGAAAAGTTCATGAGCACATAAAACACACACAGATAAGTACACAACCCGCAGCAATAAGAGGGCTCAGGCAGGGCTGTCCACTGTCACATCTACTCTTCATGATAGATATCAGTGAAATGGAAAAGAAATTAGAGTAGAGCAACATAGGTTTTGATGCGAGTTATATGGAAAGAGGGAGAAATGGTAATACAGGTAATTCCAGGACTCAGTGGCGTAGCCAGAAAATAATTTCGGGGGGTGTTTCAAGGTGCTGGTGCAATCACACACACAAAACAAAAATGGTATATATATAATAAAGTAAAATTTCGGGGGGGTGCTCTGACACCTGAACACCCCCCCCCCCCCCCCCCGGCTACGTGCCTGCTGGCCAGGACTGTTGTATGCCGACGACACTTATTGCAGATAACCAGGATACATAGCAGAAACTAGCTGGAATATGTGGAGAGGAAGGGGACACCTTGGGCATGAGTTTTAGTAGCGAAAAGCCTGGAGTACTGGTGTTTAACAACGAAAAGAGGGAACCCCTGAGGATACAAGACATTGTAATAAGCCATGTAGGAAAATACAAATATCTGGGAGTCTGGCTCGAAGAGGGAAGGAAATATCTGGAGGAACATCAGGAGAATATGATTAGCAGAGGGAACAGAAATGCATCTATTATGTAACTCAAGACACTATAAAACTACTATAATAGATATGAAGTGGTAAGAGGTATACGGAAAAAGAGTGATGTATACCAGGCCTGTATTTTGGCAATGGGGGTACTGTGCATGGAGTCAGAGGTTCAATCAGGATTAGAAATGCCACACAGAAGCGTAGACAGATTGGCACTGGTAGCACATGGCAAGACACCAAATGAGGGAGTACAGGGAGACATGACTGGTCGTCTTTTGAGAGCAGAGATGTAATTAGTAAGTCAAAATTTGAACAAAGCTAGGTTGACCGAAATGGATGATACGCGGTGGGCACGGAAGGCATTCAAGTATTTATACATGAAAAGTTTAAACACAAAATGGACAAACCGAACCCGAAAGCTTACATTTAAATACCTACACACTGGTGGTGGGGCTGAGCAGACTATACTTCAATGAAAAAGAGGGTGAAAGAGGCAGAGAGGAAAATGTGAGAAATAAGAACGCAGGAAAAATCAGCTCTAACAATGTACAGGTTACAAAAACAGGACATAAAAAAGAAAAATGTGTTTGACAATTCGCTGGGAATTTCTTTACGGTTTGAGGCGAGAACGGGAGTTTTGAAGAGAAGGGCTAAATTTCAGGAAACAGACACATTATGTGCCGCCTGCCATATAACGAGAGCGAAACACTAGAGCACTTGGTTTTAAAGTGCACGGGGCTTTGCCCTGCCCTTTCGGAAAGGGTAACAAGTTTGGCCGGTCCCTGGGTTTTGCTTGCGACGATCGAAGGACGGAAGAGAAAAGGATTACAGTTACAAAGAGGCGATTAGCAAATTGGTGGAAATTATCCAAGGAAAATTGAATGATGTACACCTAACTAGCACAGCTGGGGACGGGCGGGGCAGAGGAAAATTTGAATTCTCTCCCGCCTGACTCCGGCCCAAAGCCTCATCCCTGTCTCCCAGTGGGACAGTGGGACCGGTGCAAAGGTAACGCCGACAAGGTTTGACCAGAGAAAAATTGGCGACTCCCTCGCCGGGGGGAAAAGGCGAAGGCGATGTTTTTAGTTGTTTTTTTTTTTTTTGCTCTATCCCCCAAAGGTTTCTTGGTGGTATCCCACACTGGCTTGCGATAGTTAGGGGGAGAAAATTGACGTAGAAGGGCGGAAGGAATCATATGTCTGTATTTTTAGACTTCGGCTAGGTGGCGCAAGCTACCGCCCGCTACAAAGGGTATTAATAATAATAGTAATAATCTTTATTTGCAAAGAAGTTTTACCCCGGGTAGCTTGCTCGGCTAGAACAGAAAGGCGAAGGCCCGTACGCTTGTGCGTCTGGTAGCCAACTACCCGGGGCGTCCATCCATCCGCTGAAGAAAGCGTCGGGTCGCCATTACGCCATGCCTCATGTAACCGCCAATTCTGAAGTCCTAGTAAACCTCGTTGATTCAAACTGGGTCGTAAGACTACGCGAGTGAGTCGATAGACGGTCCCAGTATCCAAACTTGTGTAGGCGTTGACATGCTGGGCTATCGGGTGGACGGTTTGAACGGATGCGTTGGATGCTGCTTTTTTGCTTTTCTTTTGTTTTGAGGTAACGTGGGTCGGTAACGCGTTCCTTTATTTTGCAACTAACGAGTAACGTATTTCGCTCCTTTTCGGTAACGCCATTTCTTGGGAACGAAGCGCGTTATTGGACCCGAGGCGCGGCCGAACGCTGACTTCACACTCGCTCCCGATAGAGCAGAGCCGAGTTCACGCCGAACGCCACCGCAGCCCTCGTGTCCAATACATGCTCAGTGTATGTGATCAAGCCGTGGCGCGATCCCAGGAACAGGGCGCAATGTCATCAAAGTTGAAAACAGAAGCTTACTATTCGACTGTCCGCCACCGTCTTTCTGCATCGCACTTTTAATCCCGAGTTTACTGGTTTAGAGAAAAACGCGGGCCGTGAAAGTGGAGGAAGGACCCATCTTCGCCATGAGGTCACAACATTCTGACAGTGCATCGAGTGGGGCAGCAGAGGCTTCCGCTCTCTTACCCCCCATTCACACTAGAAGCGGATCCGCGTTCGCGAAGCGGTTGCGAAAGCGGTTGTATAAAGATCCAGTGCAATTGCACGCGCATTTGATGTCATCGTGTGCGCGTGCAATTGTACTGAATCCTTATACAACCGCGTTCGCAACCGCTTTGCGAACGCGGATCCGCTTCGTGTGTGAATGAGCCCTTAGGCTGCTTCCTAAGGTGACGAAAATAATCCCTGGAGAAGGGGAACAAGAGGGACAAAGGACAAACACAAATCTCCAAACACAGCTAAGTGATCGTCGAGAGGTAACCTTGTCTTTTGCAGGTTTCAGTGGCACATCGTGCGAGCCTGAGAATCCGTTCTCACGAGAAAAATCTTTACGAACGGGAAGATTTGAGCGTAACTGCAAACCCGAGACTGAAGATAGGGACAAGGGACGAAAACACAAACAGCCAAAATAAGAAGAAAATGGAATGCTCCAGGCTCGCTTCGTTTATTCCTCACCCCCTTACTTTAGTCATTTCTTCGAATCTTCAAGATACGAAACGAGCGCGTGCAACGAGTACGTACCCATGTTCCCAGCGTTCTTCTTGGTACGTGCTTGGGTAATTTATCAAAAGGGCCAATCTCGGAGGCACTGCGTTACTAAGTGTAGCCGAGGTTTTTCTTGTTTATTCTTACTCCAGAAAGAAAAACTGAAGATGCAAAATCTTCCATAGGGTCTTTGTACTCAGCGCGGCATCTTTGCAGCCATTCGAATAGCTTACGCGCTGGCTGCACGTGCCTTCTCACGCACGCGCGTGACGAGCGTGCGACTGCCCATACAGTCAGGTCGGGTTACTCGTTCTAACGGGTACAAGCGACCTTAATCCATATCTGTTATCGCTCGCAGTAATCCGTTACCTACAGTACTGTGTTGGAACATTTCCTCGTGAAACATCGAACGGGGTAGTACGTGTTCCACATACTTTAACAGGCCGCTCGCGGGTGCCTCGTTTCACAGCAGGGTTGGCCATACGGTCTTTCCCCCTTGCATTATCTGCCAGTCACGTATAGCTTCCATTTATACCCCAACGGACGGTACGTGCATGCTTTAAAACGTTCGCCGTTAAAGTGACCGGACTCGAGCAAGAAAATTTCAAAACTAATTATTTGTATGCCCGCAGGGCAACTAAATAATTTCCCTCAGGAAAAAGGGGTAGAGGTATGTTTACGTCCTACCAGCTTAATTATCTCAATTATCTCTGCTTCTTGCGCAGGGGGTAGCGGTGACGTCAGAACGCCGAGCCCTGATTGGCTGATCGCGAGCCCCCTATCTGAGCGTCGTCTGCTCCTCTGCATCGTCGTCTGCTCGCAGCGTCGTCTGCGTCTGTCTTACCTTTCTTGCGACTTTCGGAAGTGCAGAGGCCAGATTCACGAAACGAGCTTACGCCAAAAATGTGCGTAAGACAAAACTTGAGAACAAATTCGTATTCACGAAACGAAATTTTCGCAAGTTTTGCGCAGGTTACGACGAAATCCTACGACAGCTCCGAAGCTGTCTTACGCACTTCTTACGATCAAATCAGCATGGCCGACAGCGTTGCGGTCGCGACGACCAACGGACGTTTATTTTTCTACGTGCACTTCTTACGCGTCCCGACTTCAAGCAGCAAGAAAAAAGTAAAAGGTGCTTGAAACAGACCACGACGAACAAGAACGCTGGATCCACAAACACCCGGGAAAAGCTCCAACGGCCACGTTTCTACCGACAACAACCAAGCGAGCTCGGCAGATAGGCCTAGCAGGCAGTCCGACTCGGCGACCGTCTTCCCACGACCGGCTGGCGTGCTGAATGGAATATGCCCGCGCGACCCTTGTGAATCCTTCCCGTCTTATACTTTGATCGCTGACCTCAATTTTAGATTAAGAAGTCAATCTCTTCCTCTTGTCATCTCCTTGTTTTCAGAGGCAACGGTGACTCTCGGCGGTAAAAAAGCGGTGGATCTCCGACAGACGCAGGAAAGGTAAAGCAGTTATCGCTTTGACTAGCAGACGTAAAACAGACGACGCTAACTGCGCCAGCCCGCCGACGCCGTTAAAGAGTGAGGAGTCTCGCCGCACACGAACGGAGGGAAAAAGTATTTGGGAGGGAACTCGCGGACACTAACACGCTCACTTTCGGTTCTTAGCAAACAAACCTCGGCGCCTCGGGACACCTCGCCAGTGAGTCCTTTGACTTCCCTCCTTGATGCGCGTCTGCTAGTTGTTAGACAAAAACAACGTACCGCTCGAGTTATTTCGTCTGCCCTCTCTGAAAGGCGAAATCGAGCTCGCTCGACTTCCGAAAGTCACAGGAAAGGTAAGACAGACGCAGACGACGTTCCAAAGGAGCAGACGACGCTCAGATAGGAGGTCGCGATCAGCCAATCAGGGCTCGACGTTCTGACGTCACCGCTACTTCCTTTCTCATGCGCAGAAGACGAAAATGAGCCTACTTGCGAGGCGTATTCAAGGCCTCCTTCCTGAAGTTATGATAACTCAGGGGCGGAGATCTGTAAAATAATTATTTTTCTTCCTGCTTAGAATTATCAGTGTATGAAGTTTTATTTAAAAGCAAAAAAATGTCGCCCTTGGGGAGTTTGTGGGGGACGGTCGCCGTCGTCGCCCCCCCCCCCCCCCCCCCCCCCCCTTCTTAAATTCGTTCCTGTGCCAGTTCACCTGACACTGCTTGAGCTTCAAAATGAAGTGCGCCACCTCTATGTCATTTTATGCCTTGCTGGAATGAGCCCCCTAATAGGCAAACTTTGCATATAAAATGTTTGAAAGGTTTATTGATGAAAAATAGCAAAATTAGTTCTTTCTGATCCTAGCAACAGATTTTTGAAAGTTGGACCGAGAGATTTTTGCACTTATGTTGTTCATTTTAAGATGGCAGTAACATGTGCCCAAGGTTCAACGTTACACTATAAACATTGCACGAAAAAAAGAAAAAAAAAAACTTTTATTATACAGCAATTACAATTGTGAAAAATGCATGTTTGTCACACAGATTGTGTCTGGAAGATAGAATATACTATATAAATAAGCAAAAAGCAAACAAAGGTATCCAACATAATGTAGTCCTCCAGATGTTAAAAAAAAAAAAAAAAAAGTCTGGAGATGATTATTATCCCTGCAACGCGAGTTCTGCATCTTTCAGTGCTGCCTGTGCACTGATGTACTCTTCTTTCTCAGCAAGATCGGGCACAGACTCCTGCAAAAGGAATTCAAGTTCCATATTAGACCTTGATATGCCAAACGAGATAGCGTTATCGAGCCCCGTTTCGCAAAGCCTTCTCAGTGAACCCGCGCTCGTTCCCAGGCCATCCGAGCGCGGTCAAGCAACACCTCCTAGAAAGAAGGCCGTAGCGCTCCGAGTGGTTACGTCGCAATGTCGGAGAAGGAAGGCCATGGCGCAACTACGTAAGAAAACATTTGATATCGACGTGAAAAAATGGCTCTTGTCCAGCGACGCGGTGGTGTTCGTGCGCATTTACCCAACATTGATAGACGTTTTAAAAGCGCAGTCTTGTACAATTTATTATATATATAATATAAACGTAATATGCAACGCGTCACCAAGGTTGAAAGTACCAAATTTATATTTATGATTATCCCCGTAACCGCGGGACTACGTGCAGTCCCGCAGCTCCCCACACTTTTCGAATGAACCGGCTCCGATGCGACATCCTCTTTCCCCTCATACGGGCTCCGATTCTGGTAAATTTACGTTGTGTGTGAGCTGCTGACTGTCTGAAAAGGAACGCTGAGACAGTTCAGAAGGGAAGGGAACCGAAAAAAAATCCAGTTATCACCGCAGGGAGCGCACACGAGCAAGGTAGTGATGCAAAACTATCGATAAATTGACTATCAATAGTTTTTCCAAAACTATCGATAGTGTCTCAGAACTATCGATAGTGCTATCGATAGTTTTTCGATAGTCGACTATCGATACTACTATCGATAGTTTTTCGACAGTCGACTATCGATAGTACTATCGATAGTTTTTTTTCAATATCGATAGTCAGATTTCTGGCGACTATTGATACTATCGATAGTACTTGTGGTTCTCCTTAGGGCCACTGCCTTTGGGAGTTCCACGTTCGCGGCGAGACGCTCTACCGCGAAGCGGGTTCGTGCTCGCGTGGCATGCTGCTCGTTGAGCGCAAACAAACACCAGTCACGTTGGTAACGGTGATAAACTGTTTATTTACAATGAAACAAAATAACAACAAAACAGCGACTATAAGCTGGTGAACGCCGTCGGTGTGGAGATCGCCCACGGCCGAACGGTCGTCCACAAAGGTACAAAGTACGGGGTAAACGCTCACCGGTGCGCCGGAAGGGTCCCCGTTGTCGCCGCCGCCGAATCCCAGGAAGAAGAGCGAAGCGAGACAAAAATTGGCTTGCTCTTTATGTTTATACAGCCTTGATGGAGATGCGCCTCAACGGGTAATCGGTCTCTTAGCTGTAGATGAGAAATTTGGCCAGTGCGGTACAACCGCTAACCTGGGGTTTTTAACGTGCATCACGCAGTAGTGATCACACGAACGCGTGCCGGTACGAAACTCATCCAGATCGAAACGGGCGGGGGCGGCGGGGATCGAACCCAGGAGGTTCCCAGCGCAAGCTTTCGCTCCACGCTCCGAGCTGAGACGCGTTAGCCCACTCGGCCACTTCCTCCCTTAGCGAAGCGAGACTGCTGTCCGCTGGTTTTAAGATAACGGCGGGGGCGAAGTGGCCAATCAAGGAGCAACACGTCGATCTCCTTTGTGCGGGGGTTCGTTACGGAAATCGCCCCAAGGGGGGAGAGGAGGAAGCCACTCACAGTGGTAAGCAGCGCCACCTCTCGCTACGCCAGCGCGGCCGCCACGGCGCGCCAAAACGCTGACGCGACGGAATGTTGAGGGATCACAATCCCCACATACTATCGATAATTAGACATGAGGAAGATACATAGAAAGGGGGGACGGACAACGTCCCCCCTTTCTATGTATCTTCCTCATGTCTAATTACCGTTACCAACACGCTCGTTTTGTTCTTAATTACTATCGATAGTTTTGCACCACTAGCAAGGTGGCCTTTCGTACCACACTACTGCCGTTGCTCTCGTGTGTAATTCTTTTTTATACTTCTTTCTTCTTCCCGTCGTTTTTCTGTCGTCAGCGCAGGCTCGGGTATTTGTTTTTGTGTTCGCTTGATACTATGGCATTTACGTGGATTCGTGGAATAACTCCTGCTACGGTTTGAGTGACATGTGTGGCAACTAGTCAACGATGACACTGGTCGATTATTGATAGACCTCTCTCTCGACAAAGAGAGACTTCTTGGAGTTTGTGTTCAAATATTTTCGTAGCGGATATTGCGGGACGTATGGATACGATCGACAAGTGAGAAAAACTTATTTACGAGCTTTCTTGGTCACGTAGGACGCGAATAAAATGCTGCAGTTGATATATATAACTTTTAATCTCCTGAAACAATGGCATTTTGTTCTTCGTCATTATCTGTCTGTGTGCTGTTGCGGCGACATTTGTAAATATTCGTGGTAATATTCTAGTTTTTACTGGAAGGTGAATAACAAGTTTGTGTGATTATTGAAAGTGCATTGTTTGTGCTTATGTGTTTATTTACACTAATGTTATTTTATTGCCTTTAACACATTTATACTAGAATCTTAAATGTATTAAGCTACTAGTATTATTGTATACAAAATAAGTTATATTTTGTTCTAAGGCAGTTCGAGCCCATAGGGAGAAGTAAATTAGTTGACTGTAAATAGCAAGTATAATGTAAGAATTAAGTAACTACACGCGATAACATGGCCTACATGATCGTAAGTGACACTTGTCTAGCCGTGTCCACAATGACTACGTCTACCTGGTTTTTAACTGATCTGTTTTACTGTGTCTAACCACTGCGTGTCTCGCCATTTTGTCGAAGCATTTCTGTATAAAATATGCATTCCTACAGCAGTAATTGCGTGAGTCAACGTTCTCGACTTAAAACAATCACAGTTTTCTATAGACGTCTTATACGCATACCTCGTGCCATTTCGTACAGATTATTTAGCGGTGTAATATTTTGCCCATGTAATAAAATGTTTTGTAGACCCGTTGCTATGTGCAGCTTTCATTTTAGCTAATAAGACACGCATATATGACTAAAAGCGCATTACGAGGGCCGATCCAGGCGTGTTGCCTTGGCTTCGACGTGCGCCCCCGATGGCCTTCCTGTGCGACGTCACGAGAAGAGTGCTACAGCCTTAATTTCTAGGTGTTGGGAGCGGCATCCCCTCCACTCCGTACCTTCCCCTCCTCCTCCTCAAGAGCTGTGCTCTAGTTTCGCATTACAGAGATTTGTAAACGACTTTAATTTTTTCTTTCACAAAGTCGAAACAGCGAACATGAAAGTTTTTACTGCAGACTCCAAGAACCAAGAGAAGAGCAGATGAAGATAAATTGCAATGACCATGGTCTTTTGGGGTTACAAGCGCTATGAAGTTCCCTAAGCAGTGTGGAAGGGGTTAGCTGTGCCGGGGCTCACGTTTCATACTTAATAACATGCTGTGCCTGTGGCCAGGCACTTGTTACTACCTCAAGGTGCTCGAAAGAGAGCTGGGCAGGTGAGCCGGTCAAGCAGCACCGAAAGAGGCCACAGAAGGATATGTGGGCTGATCCAGCCTTGGTGACAGGGAGGCTCGAACCAAAAAGCTGGAGAGTTAAGCCTCAGCAGGATGTTGAGGCTTCACTCAGTGGGACATTAAAGAACCCATGAAACAAATTTTGGGCTTGGATAAATCAATTTAGATTGAGAATTTACTAATAGCACATCGGTCAGTGGACCAAAAGAAAAAAAAGGTACAAAGTCAAAAGCCTGATTTTCGGTACGAAAATTTGAAAACACAGCGGACTATTTCTTACCTCCTTCCCTTCGTAAGCTCTCTGCCTTTTCACTGTGATACATCCGCAATCCCCAAAGCACGTCACCGGCTCCAAATGCACCTCACACGACACCGGACCTCGCTTAATCCCTTCACCCCTAAGCTGACATTGCGGTGGAAGCTATGCGCTTGCCGGACCAATCAGCCGCCTCCCTTTCATCACCTGACCTCATTCTCTGCACGAGGGTATGTGCGAAAGAGCGTGATCACATGGCAAAAGTGTGGCTGGCCCAACAAGCACGTAGCTTCCACAGCACTGTCAGCTTCGGGGTGAACGGGGTGGGGAAAGCAACTTTTGACTGAATTTTGAGCAACGGGCTAATCTTCTAGAGGCAGAATGGCTGTGTCCAAGTACACAAACGAGAGTCCAAGCAAGACGGGATTCCCCCCCTTTCCATCTTCTTGAACTGTCTGGTATAATGCGGGATTTATGAGTTGAGGAGGAAAGCTAAACAGGAAAAAGTTCAAAAATTGTTTCATGAGCCCTTTAAGGAAGGCCTGTCCAGGCAGGCCTTCCTTAATGTCTGCCACAAAAAGGCACCTACAGCATACTCTTGAGTAGCAGGAGGTAGAATCTGGGATGCAGACTTTTTTCAAAATGAGCTTCAGTCACTTTTCATGGTCCCACGCATTGCTTGGGGTTTCGGGAAATAACAGCCCCAACACCTTTTGCGCCTCTGCCTAAAACGTGGCAAAAAGCAAGGTAAAAAGAAAAACAAACTAATTGCCCAAGTGCGACCTGCAGCTACCATATAATAATACTACTAATAATGCTATGTGTATGTTTATACAGACTGAAGTTAGTCAGCCTCAATGGGCGTCTGGTGTCTCGGCTGTAGATGAAAAATTTAGTCGGTGCAGCACGGCCGCCAGTCTGGTGTCTTTAACGTGAATCATGCAGTAGTGATACACGACCGCACGCCGGTACGATGCTCCTCCACATCGAAACGGGCAGGGGCGGGGATCGAACCCAGGATCCCTGGGTTCTACAGCACGAGCTTTCGCTCCACGTGCTTCGAGCTGGTGTGTGCTAGCTCGCTCGGCCACTGATCCCCCACAGCTACCACACCAAATGCCCGAAACTGCACCAGGAATGCAAGAATGCATCTGAGGGGCTTAATCACTAATCATGTCATTCTCGTTTTCTGTTTTGTGAGGGGAAGCGGCACGCCCTTGGGACGATGGCTGGCGACCGGCGATTGGGCAGAAAGTATCAGTGTACAGGAGGCTTCGGCCCAATCCTAACTCGGGGGTTCCTCCTTAGCGCCCAAGGCACAACCCCCCCCCCCCCCCCCCATGCCACATCCTAGGTATACCACTGGTTGCTGCTGAAGAGTGTCGCATGAATGTTTCAGACTTCAGACAGGTCAAACATCACAAATTTCGAACGCGGTGCCCGTTCACACTCTTGCGACCTCTTAAATCTGGGTTCCTTAAAACTCCTTAAACCAGAGAACGCGCTGGCGCCATCTATTGGGAAGCAGTGTAAACTCGGCGGTTCAGCATTTTTTTTTTTTTATTTCTCGCGCATTATCCTTTCTTTCTTGGCTCGAAAAACTTTTTGTCAATGTTATAAACGAGCCTTCCTATGGGTATTACGCACATTTGACCTCGGAAATCCCTCAAAACCTTCGCTCTTGTGAAATGCGGTACCAGGATCACCGCATAGATGGCGCCACAATGCCAGTGTGTTCCCTCATTCTAAAAACATTTAAGAAGTTTTAAGAGATCTCGTCTCTCTCAGTCGTACTCGGCCGCAAGAGTGTGAACGGGCCTGTAGATGTAATACTTCGCCGTAATATGTAGGAATCAGCGTCTTTGTGGTTTAATGAATATAAGAAAATTAAGATCAGGTATATATATATATATATATATATATATATATATATATATATATATATTTTTTTTTTTATGACATGTGTAAGACAAGTTGTGTGTAGGTGAAGCGCGCTCTGGCGGCACTTACCAACACTTCCTTGAGGTCGTTGTAGGCGGCTAATATCCCCTTTTGGCAATGGGGCACCATCTGCGCTGTGTCTTGGATAACTTCTTCCTGGAATTAAAGTCGAGCTTGCAGTTCCGCGATCTGCCCCCAGATGAAACTTGGACATCGGGAGGGCGCTATTGTGCGTCGACTTACCTGTCGTTTGAGGGTGTGCTCGTCTTTGCCCGTATCTTTCATCTTGGCCATTCGCTCTTTCTCAACCTCGACCTCTTTCTCGTAAACAGACTTTTCCTTTGTCAACCTGCAACAGCGAAAAGACACCCATTTCATTTTTTTTCTTCTTTTACTTTCCCTGAGATCTGTCTAACGGGAGATTGTTGTGGGCGTTGACGAGCAGTCAAGCGTCACGGTATAGTTCTCGGGTTTCCGGACTTTGAACAACGCCAAGAATCCGGTTAGTTCTTTCATATTTCTGCTAATTATCGATCTAACCGCTTATAAAAGTCGTGCCAGCAGGCAGTGACCGAAATTCAGGGGCAAAACAAGACCCGCGTTCGGTACGAGAAAGGAAAGATGGTACGTTACCTTTTAACGATTCCCGTTTTAATTTTTAACTGGCGAATTCTAGCGTCCGCCATTTGGTGTTACAGAGCTATCAGAATGAAATGAACTCGCTTCGTAGCAAGGGGGCAACGGGTAAAGTTAACGGTTGCTATGACAGACAGGCGTGCCGGAATTATCAGAATCACAAAATGACTGCCCACATCACGAGCAGTGACCTTCTCTTTTTCCGTGTAAGAGTCTGTTATCGTCGCCTATAATGTTAGTAGATGGCGCCACATGCCCAACGCTAGCTAAAGCAGGCTAAAGTACTCTACGCATAGAAACTCTACGTGCTTCGACAGCTTCGACCACCGTGGCTTGGACTCTACAAACCAAACATAAATTTTAATTATATGTTTTGTTATTTCATAGAGTTTCTCTTTATTAATTTCGTGCCGCAAGTATGGGATGCAGTAGATGTTTTTAAGAGCCTTAGGAGCCTTAGGATCAACACATTTTGTTTTACGGTCGTTACGGTTTCTTGCCTTTATTGTACGAAATGTACGTTCAACTTAACTCAGATTCAGTTTAAATGATTTTTATATAAACACACTCTGGCTAATACAACAGTAGAAATATTATTTTGTAATTTTAATTAAAAAACGGCAAAATAGAAGTGGCGCCACCTAAACACATAGTTTCAAAACTACTATTCTTCGCGATTGCCCCGAACAAAGCACGGGTCACATAAACAATAGGGGTGGCCACGCGGATCGTGGCGTCCTCTCGCGAACAATGCGGGCACCAACCTGAATGTAAAAGATGCAACAGGTGTGGGGGGTCGAAATGCTGGGAAAAAACGAGGCACAGATGCCATAAACAAGGGGCGAAACACGGGCTCCGAACTCCGAGCCGCAAATGCCTGCTCAGTTCCAGAAAGGATTCCGCCGCAGTCCAGGTAAGCTTTCGAACAACTCGTTGGGGCTCTCGGCGCTACTTTGAGGCGGTGGGAGTGTAGCAGCGTTACGGCCGGATCAAGAGCAACCACCCTCGGGGTACGCTCGAAGAATCCACGTCCTCAAAGTCCGTGCATCTGACAGCCGCGTGTGTGGCAGGCTCCGTCCTCGCAGCCACTGCACACCAGAGAAAAGATGAACACGAAAAGTCGTTCTCGTATCGCGAGTGGCTTTGAGAAAGAAAACGCAGCGAGGCGAAAATCAGTTTTTGAAGCCTCCGGTTAAAAAGCGACGGGCCGTCCCCCTCCCCAGGTAGTGCTCTGCCCCAAAACAATCGAAACAGCCCGAAGGAACGTGCCGGAGAGGCATTTGGGTTATGTCTGATGGCCGTTTGGATAGCGAATCCGTTTCGATCTGTCCACGTTTTCCCGACTGTGTGTCTCGCGTCGAAGCCGCCGAGGTCAAACAACGTTCGACTCGCTGGCATTGAACTCTGACGTTTTCCCCTAATGCCGCGTGAAATAACCAGAGAGCTCGACAAGGACAGCCGACTCATCGCACGCCGTTTGCTTGCTATCAACACGACTTGTAAGTTCGGTGAAAAGATGAGCTTCTTTCGTGTAAAGCTACTTTTGTTTCTTGTTTTTTCTTCGGCGGCCTTCGTCGTTTCCAGGTCGTGCGTTTTGTAGGCGCATTGAGCCCTCTGGAAAAAAGACTAACAAGAAAGAAATAAAAAAGTTCTTGTCACAAAAAAGCCCGGGGACTATGTAGTACAAAAGCGCTCGTTTTTGTTGTTTTTCTCGTCAGGGAAAGTTGTTCTGATGGTGTGTGTTATGTAGCGCCCCGTACGCTGGGCGTAGTGGTTCGCTCTTTGCTGATTTGGGTCTTATTTTTTGTCGGGGACACGCTTCGGGTACCAATCACGTTCTCCCTGTGCCGTAACCTTGCGCTCGTTTTGTGCCGCTGTCATTTGCGTAATGAATTCCGTAACGTGAGCATTGCCCCATCTGGCTGGGTTCCCGCATGGATTGGCGCGATAATTTGACACCTCATGCGAGACGCTGCGCGTTGACAAGATAGCAGCAGCAACGTTTTTTGCCCGGGGGTGCTTCTATCTGGAATGATGCCGCATTGACAATTCGTCGATAAGCGCATAGACTGCATACAACCTAGTACACCTTTCGTTCCTGTCTGAACGCTGGTGGAAATGTTTGATTATGCTTCTCCAAAGTTTTTAATACGCGATCGTGATAAGTGTTACTTTGGGAATGTAGCTCTGTCTTCCTTTTATCGCAGCTGCCGCGACTGTCGTCCGCAAAAAGTCGCCACTTTTCCGGGTTTATAAACTCGCGTTTCTTCCGACGTTTACATCAGGCAGTCAAAAGTTCATTAGCATATCCGAGGATTTCGCCTCGAGAAACGAGAGTTGTACGGCAGAGCCAGAACAGAAGAGCGGCGTTCAGCTAAAAATAAAATTGACTGCGTGTTGGCATGCGTGGAGGAGGCGCGCGCACAGGCCGACCAGCTGCGCGTGGTTGCATTATATGTATGTGGCGAACGTCACTGCAGGAATGCCGGAAGTGAACACTAAAAGCGATAGCCGGGAGGTCTAAAACGTGCGCTATGTATGTTTTCGAGGTGGTGGTGTCGGGAGATTACGTAAAGTATAATGACATCTCTTGGCGCACAAGCGGCATGCCTGCTACGGTGGTTTCGAATACAGCTCTGCGAGTTTAGATCTGTAAGACGCATGCTCCCACCTTTCTGATAACCCCTCATTGTTTTTTTTTAGACTGAGATTGTGAGTCTGTCACTACATCGGAAGTTGATTGATTTGGAATGGATGTCAACCCGTAATCAACTTGAAATTTTTAAAAGCGGGCAACTAACAAATTGTGCTCCCGTAGGAGAACGCTGGATAAATCTCCCCTGTGTTAGAATACGCGTCCGCAGTGTGGAGCCCATGGCAGAGCTCTCTAGGTATTTTCTTATTAACTGATGGCAAGGGGGTTTTATAGCCTCACTTTCTTTGCAGTGCGGAGTGAATATAGTTTTGACATCTAAATATTCTAAGCTTAAATGGTAAAACAAAATGGCTAGGTGGCGTAAGCTACCGCCCGATCCAAAGGGCTCAGCCGGATTCATCCACCATCCATCCATCTGGTCAGAGAACTCGAAGATATGCAATCGCTAGCAGTGCGAATAGTTTTTTTCAGATTTCAGACGAACTACGTCTGTGACCGAACTTAAAAGGAGAGCCAATATAAGCCCTCTGTCAAACAGAAGAGAGAGCCAACGGTTGAAGCTGTTCTTTCAGATTTTCAAAAAAAGTATAAAAATTGATAGCTCGATTTACTTAAAATCAAAAAGTTTCTACTCGGAACGCTTGCATCACTCAAAGACCGTAGCCCCTATTAAAGCTCGAATAAATAGCTGTAAACGTTGTAGATATTGATTCACTCTTTTTTTCGAAAAAGCCGTAGATATTATTTTTCAGTCCTAAGATTGCTTTTATTGCTGTTATGACATTATTTTTACTGTCTTTATTTTTTATTACTGTTATTACTGCTGTTACATTTACTGCTATACTGTTACTGTTATGACTAGTATTACATTTGGTTACTGTATTACTGTTGATATTGATTGATTCTCTTTCGAATAAGTCGTAGATATTATTTTTCGGTGCAAAGATTGCTTTTTGTTTAGAACTTTTGTGTTTATAATTTGCATGTATGACACTGTATCACCCGACTGCTGCCTTGGCCCTATATTGAGCTGACAGAATTGATAAATAAATAAAATTTTGACCTGACGTCCTGAAAAAGAAAAACATGTTGGGATGTTTTTTTTTTTTTTTCTAAACCTCAATATTTTATTTTGTTTCAACGAGCTCCTATTGTCAATACACGGTAGCATTTTTGGTCATTAAATTTCTGAAGCATAATTCCATGTACGAAACCCAACGGCTACAAACATTTTGGTCGAGTTACTCGCGGAATCAGTGCCGTCCTTGTCAGCTGAAAACGTCGTTTGGACAACAAAGAGTTCATTGGATCGCTCATCTGTCAACGCGTTATCGATGGTTTGCCTCGTCGCCTTTTTGTTGCCTCGGAGAAAAAAAAAAAGGAATTTCCGTTCCCAACGTCGTGGGTCAAGGGCTACCTCCAATGACGTCACGGCTGTCTTCGCTCGTGGAATAGCTGATGACCGCACTCCGAGTTTGAAAGAGTGCCTGTTGGCTCGGGCACTTCATCTCTTACCCTGTCACTTCTCTCCCGTCTCGTGTGTAGTAATATACGTGCGTGCTTTAGAACCCTACACACAGACGAGAATACAACTTGGCTCGCTTTTTTCCTCTGCGAGGCACTCCCTCGACTCTGGTGGCAGATTGGATTCCTTAGAGATAAAACGCGCGGTAAATGTCGGTGGTGTACTGCAGCTACAATTCACGAATGCATCCTTAGCTTTCGTCGTAGTTAGCGCATCTCAATCGGGTATTTGTAGTTCATCGTCAAAAGTGAGGCCATAACAGTTTTTACACGAGAAAAAAAAAAAAAATTCTGCTCGATGATAGAGCTCAGTGACGTCATCACACAGTTGCGTCGCACGAACCATCATGAACGTGTCTGTCGTCCCTCTGGCGGCGGAATTTTTTTTTTTTTTTTCTTTTGCGCTTTTAGGTTATTATAACTGGTGCCGAGCAAAACTTTTTTATTTTATATATATTTATATATATATAACTATCACATATACATACTAACGGCGGGCTACAAGTCTCCTTAATGATTTTTTTTTTGCGCTTTTAGGTTACCATAACTAGTGCCGAGCAGAACTTTTTTTTTATTTTATATCTATTTATATATATAACTATCGCATATACTAACGGCGGGCTACAAGTCTCCTTAATTGAGCCTGCTTAAATTAATATTTAGAGTGAACTTAAGTTAATTAATCCGTGAATGTAACAGTCGCCCCCTTTTGTCCACTGCGGCCGCCAACGTTATGCAAAGGACAAGAACGAAAGCTTTGTGCTGTCTTGTCTACACATGTTTTCAGTCTAAAAAAGAGCCTGCACCTTGAGTTGAGACTTATGCGTTCGCGACGAAACAGATTGGGCGGAATGAACGTCGCACACTCTTTTCTCTAGGTAATTTAGTATAATACGCCCGTCGAAAATGCCGGAAATTTGTTTTACCTAGATTGTCTTTAAAAAAAATATGGGGTTTCATAAGAAAAAGGTGTATCGCAAAAGTGTTTTCCCGCTAAATTTAGCGGGGAAACGTATCTTAGCTAAAACGCAACGGAACAATTCCACCTTATTCTGTGCACCCCACAACCTTATTGTAGAATTCGGGCATATTTTTATTTCTATTGCCCGAATTGGTTGTCGCGGTTGATTTCATGCACGAGGTGCGTCGCCACTGAGCAATACTTGCTGCGAATCTTCCATTGGTTTTGACGTTGTGAACACACTTTTCAGGCGTCTACAGTCGGTCGGGAAAAAGGCGGAGCGAGCGCGAGAAATCGTTTCGCAGGAAGATGTCACGCAAGCTTAAGGGATTTCTGCGTTTATTATAACGCGCGAAAAGTTTTCACATTTTAAGCAGTGCGATCAAAACCGACAAACTGAAAATTGCAGGGTTTGTAAACTTTTCGTCGTATTATCGCGAACACCTGACCGCTCGCTTTCGCATGCATGTTCGCGCACACAGTGATGGAAGTGCTTTGTCATTTGTGCCATCAAGTGTGCTCCAACTTGCACTAAAGCGCCACTTTTGCTAAGAATAGACCTTATGCATTTTTGGCGCCGTCTATCGGCACGTGGTGCGACCTCTTCGTCTGCGTTTCGACCCCGTTCTGGACGAGGAGTTCCGAAATCGCGGTGACCAATGTTTAAAATTTTTTTTCTCGCACGCTGACATTTGGCAAGGTCTGTTATCGATCACGGTATCCAATCATGAAGCGTTTGTTGAATCTCTTACTTCCAAACTAGCGAAAAGTA